CACGAGTGGGATGAAGTTAAGCCTACCTGGTGCGACAAGTCCAAATGGCTCGCAGATGAAAGCGACTGGAAGCCTGCTTCCCTCGTACGAATTAGGCGGCCATCTCGACTGAATATTTCCAGCCTGAGCACCTTCTTCTGGCCCATCAAAGACACCAAAAATCCAGAGAAGCTGCGGCCTACAGCATACCTTGACGGCTTGCGAGGCTTCGCTGCCTTCTTGGTGTACTGGCATCACAATCAACTATGGGCTCATGAACCTCACGTCCAAAACAGAATCTTTGAAAACGCTTTTGGATACGAAAACAAATATCACTTCATTGCCTTTCCTGGCATCCGCCACTTGTTTACTGGAGGCCACTTCTCAGTATCAGTCTTCTTCGTCATATCCGGCTACGTCCTCTCCGCTAAACCTCTGAGCTTGATCCAGTCCGGAGACCACGGGAAATTCGCAGAAAATGTCGGCTCAGCCTTATTCAGGCGATGGCTAAGACTTTATATCCCATTGGCGGCGACAACTTTCTTTTACATGACATTCCTCCACATGTTCAATATTTGGGTCGACAATATCGAACGTGCGCCAACTTGGAGAGATGATGCCTGGCTCTACTATTGCGAGCTGAAGAACTTCAGCTTCGTCTTCACCACTGGAGGCGGTCCGTTCTTCAGTTGGAATCCACACCTTTGGTCCATTCCTGTTGAAATGAAAGGCTCAGTCATCGTCTACACGTCGCTGGTCGCATTTTCCAGATGTACCAGAAACGCTCGACTCTGGTGCGAGGCTGGTCTGGCTTTTTACTTCATGTACATCGCCGACGGATGGTACGGAGCCATGTTTGTCATGGGCATGATGCTCTGCGATCTCGACCTCCTGGCGAAGAAGAACGACCTCCCCAACTTCTTTAAGCGACTGGAACCCGCCAAACTTTTCATTTACTACCACCTCTTCGCCATCTCGATGTATCTCGGTGGTATCCCGTCTTACACCGGAGATGTCATGAAGATGCGAGAGAACCGTGGGTGGTACTATTTGTCGTTTCTCAAGCCTCAAGCCGTCTTCGATTACAAGTGGTTTTACCTCTTCTGGGCAGCCACAATGCTGGTATCTGCGGTCCCACGAATCTGGTGGCTGAAGAGATTCTTCGAGACACGCTTCTGTCAGTATCTAGGACGGATCTCGTTTGCCCTCTACTTGGTTCACGGACCAGTTTTGGGGACTCTGGGCGATCGACTCTACACAGCCGTCGGGTACCACAAAGAGACGGAGCGACAACATCTCGCGCACCTAGTCGATAGGTTTCCGTTACCCAAGATTGGACCCCTCGGCTTGGAACCGGCCTTCCTTCTTCCTCACGTGATACTTCTTCCGGTCACTCTTTGGATCGCTGAGATTGTCACGAGGTTCATTGACGAGCCTAGCGTAAAAATTGCTCAATGGCTCTACAGAAAAACACTGCCAACAGCGCCAGCAAAGGCTTGAGATAGGCTGAGGGGTATTTGGCGTTCGGGCACATGTATTTCGGGACTGCCGAGACATTTACGGCATCTAGCACGAAGTAATGATTAGTGTAAACCACTTGTAATTGATCAATTGACAACACTGTTCCACCGCGCAAGACCAGACCAAGACGCTCAGACAAACTAGGTGCTTATGTCACGGTGCAATCGGATTGGCTACTGTCCAGAGCCATGGACCTGAACCTATTCTAGTTGAACTCTAGAGCGCGTCCAGTATGCAGCGACGATAGACTTGCCACGCGGGCCGCCAGGCTGAGCCAGCGGTACTGACGGGACTGAGTCCGCCACGCGCTGTCTAGTTGACTCAGCCTGCAGCAGGTAAAGTTGGGGGTTTGCCCTTCCCGCCCGAACCTCAATTTCTCTTGTGTCTGCTTTTCCTATCGACTTGCAGCTGTATCACACCCAATGACGCTGCAAGAGCGGATGCTTTCCCCAAAATGGAAGTGGTGTGGCAGCTCGTGAGGGGAATAGGATTGCAACTCAGGCCAGGGGTTCGCGCACCTCACCGAGGCAACTCACATGCTCACATGCTCGAAATAGCGAGATTATGCTTTACCATTCACCAATCTGCTTGAGGAGCTAATCTTTGATCAAACTTGAGAGTTGATCTGAGCGACACTCCATCACTAAGCTTTGTGCATACATCCCAGTTTACCTGACCCTTCGCACTAAAAATGCGGGTGGCTGGGGTTGACGAGCAATAGTCGGCCGCGCTTGTCAACTTGTAAGTGAGGGGAAGTTGAAAGCTCCAACTTCCATGGTAGTATTCACTTGCTCGTCAGTCGATCTCCATCACACGGCATACATCTCCCGAACACCTCCCCGTGTTTCTCATCTTAGCTTCACTTTAACAGCCTTGCATCCTAGGTCCCCCACATCCCTTGGGACTCTCGTTTGTGATGCAATCGTGATCCATCATCCTGGAGCTCGGCCAGCACATGTTGCGGAGAAATTTCGCGCAACCCCCAAAGTCCCAGACCTGCACTTTCACGTAACCTCACTATCGAAATCGAGCACTCCAAGTGCCTACCTACGCATTCACCGCAAGGTTATCTGTCAATAGGACTAGCTTGATCATTTGACTCTGCATGCTCCGACCCCACGTTCGACGTGCCGCCCGTTCCAGTCGCTTGTCCCTCGACACCTCGGCGCATGCAGACAGTCCTCCCACCTCGCGATGATAGCTAGAGACTTCAAGCGCGTCATCCTCATCGTAGGCCCCTTCTTGTTTCTCGTTTATGTCGGTATACGGTGTCTCGACTTCAGAGACTCTGCTTCGGGGTTCAATTCCTGGTTCGATCACATCTTTGCACCGAATTGGAGACAAGGCGATGAACTCAAACCGCACTCGCGGCCGGCGCCTTCGGACGTGCCGACGGAGGTACAACCTGTAGATGGCGCGCCTGAACATCCGCCTGCATCAAAACAAACACATCATGAAATATTCTCGACGTCAACTTTCAACAAGAAGTTTTTTGCCATACGGTTTGACGATGAAGGCGCGATCAACCCCAATATCATCCCGCATCCCACCATTGAGAATACCTATGTCATTGTTGCGCAAAGGCGGAAAATAAATCACGACAACTCTGAGCATGTGGAAATCACTTGCAATGCCACCTTCACCCTGGAAGGTCTCGTCTGCGTCGATGCACCCACGGTTCTACCCATCGCAGCCACGAAGAGCGGTGATGACAAGTGCCCACCGAAACTGGCCTACATCGCCATGAACGTTGGGCCCCACGATGCGCGGGTCTTGTACGGACCCAAAGCCCCGTTCATCGTATACGGTTCCAACTCGATATTCGCCTGCTTCGGACAGTTTATGCAGGACTTCCGAACTCTCGGAGACTGGGGCTTCGAGATGTCATTGGATCAAGGTTTCGGTCTGGGAACGGAGCTCCAGCGGCCTGCGCCTTGGGGCATGATGGAGAAGAACTGGTTTCCGTTCTGGGACGAAGATGGCGCAGTCTACGTCCACCACGACGTGGCGCCGAAGCGAGTCTTTGCGAAGTTGAACGCGGACGGCTCCGTAGGCCCGAACCTCGGGCCGTTGGCTGCCGGGGACGAGACTTGCATGAGCAAGTACATGCCGAAGCTCCCGCCGGATCTCGAATCGATACACCAGGCGACGAACTCGCTGAGCATTACGTTTTGCAAACGCAGCGACCCGACGTGCAAAGCCACTAGTGACAATACCTTTGTCTTTACGGTGTTCCAGCACAAAACTTTCTATCAGTTCCACAGCGAGTACGAACCGTATGTGATGGTGTTCCGACAAAAGGCCCCGTTCGAGGTATTTGCCATGTCAAAGAGACCGATATGGATACACGGCCGGGAAGAGAAACTTGGTGGAGGGTCCGACATGTTTTATGTAACCTCCATGAGCTGGAAGAGGCAAGACCAGAGGTATCACGGGTTCTTGGACGATGTTTTGTTCCTCTCATTCGGCATTGAAGACGAGAGAACCGGCGCTATTGATGTCTTGGCTGAGGACTTATTGGCTGAGCTTGGGACTTGCTTGGAAGCGTGATGACCTTTAGCTCTTCAACACAACGAATGAGTAATACCATATAATTCATACGAGCCTGGGCCCGAACATGCATGTTTGAAGAAGAAGATATCTCGAAGCCATAAGGAATGATAGCACATTTGACTTGAGATATTTCAACAATCATTTGTGTAAACGATAAGATATGAAGGCAATTGCCAGTGTGCTCGACGGAGCTTCTCAATGCGAAGAATAGACAATTTTGGGCCCTAGATTTGTCTCAGTTGTATACCCGACTTCAGTCAACGGTCGAGACCCTTCCACGCCTTCGTACTAGTATTGGCTCGCTCAACAATGAATCCGGGGAATGCGCACTGGCTGAGGCTCGTAGCCGCTCCCCCCAACATTCCACATCTTTGTTTGGAAAACGGCAGAATGAGTAGGAAAACTAAAGAAAAGGAAACACTCGGCCATCAACTGTGGTTCCCCGACAGTATCTCTCCATTAGAAGAACCTTTTCATGGACTTGAGATAGACCAGAACATCGTCACACACACCAACCCCGTGACGGCGCGATTGCGTGGAAGAACCAGAATTACTGATCGGCCGAGATGATGTGAATGACTTGAGACTTCCGCATTCCGGCCCGGCGTAAGCCAGAGTCGACTCTGGACAGGCACGGCAACGAGCGCACTCATTCCGCAAACGGAAGCATCCCAAACCAAAATCGGTTAAAGTCGTTGCCACTTTCAGCCGTCCCATCATATCCATAAACCATTCCTAATCCATTCAACAACGACAATGCAATGGCAAGCCACGAGAGCGTCACCGTAAGCCAACCAAGTATCGTTCCTTACCGGAAGCAGCGCTTTGCCCCAGGAATTTGTCAACGATTGGTAGCTGCCAGATTTTCAGGCGTTTTCGGGGAAGCCATTTCTTACATGTCTTTGCCTTATGAATGGAATGTGCCCCCCTGTCAGCGCCCATTTTCATCTTCATCCGGACTTCCACCACATTACTGACTTTCTGCCACGCTTGGCGAGAACCCCCGACGACGCCGCGACCACTCCATTCTTGCACCCTTACGGATATATATACCCAACACATAGTACCCAAGCGCGCGCCCTTCGCGCGGAAGCTCTAGGATGTACAACCCAAACGTTAGAATGATTAGTCCCGATCATTCCCTCACATTCACCAACTTGGCGTCAAAGAGCTTCGAGCTCACACAGCACAATGTACCGACGTCCCCCGATATCCGGATAATTCAGGACATCAGTCAGGCCACTTTGACGCCTAGAGATGGAGAATCAGTTATGTCGTGGACAAAGGGATGCTACTTTGGCAAGAGCGGGTTCGACGACGTGATGCTCTGCTGGCAAGAGCTGGAAGCCTTGACGTCTTTTTGTATCGGCATTGAGTCTCCCGAGCGCGGCTTCTTCAAGCCTATTCGGTCCCACTGGAAAGTGAAGTACAACGACGGCACCACAACCAAGGATTGGTTCTTTCCTTCAGACGACCCATCAGACCCGTACACATTCCCGAGCTCAATGGATGTTGACATTTCGGTCACGAGCCATTCAGTGAAGGATCAGCTAGAGCTCAAGATCACGATCAAAGATAAAACACCAAATGCTGAGCTTAAGTCATAGAACATTGTAAGTAAATGCACTGCCTACCATGAACCAAAATCTAGCGCTAACCATCACCAATCCAGTATGTCCACGAACCACAGCACGTCAATAATTAGTAGGCATTTGTACGGTTTTGCGGGACACAACAGTTCAGATAGCAGTTAAGATGATATAGGATATCCGAGATAGAAAGAGATGGGGATGATTCAATACAGCGTTGGTTTCAAAAGCATTTTGGGAGGCGACTTTATTTAGATGCAATAGTTCCTCCTTACGGTTTCGATTCGATCAATATCTTCAACTATTCCTCGTAAACTTGTGCAGTGGAAACGTTTGCTATATATAGTACGTCTTGAAGTTTCACCGTTTATTCCCAAATCTGCATGGTGTGTAAGTGCCTTCTACCTAATCATCGTTGGGCTAGCCATATCTTGCTGATGGTCTTGACATACAACAGATTCTTCTGTGAGGATTCACAGGAGACCTATGCTGGTATTTGATTGTTGTAGCCTTCGCAGTCTTGCGGAATCTCAGCCGCTTGAAAGCTAACTAACACTCCCGGAATGGACGACGACGTCCCGTTTCCCGCTTGAAAACGTATGAGCGAGACCATTCCAATCGTAAGAGCCAATAAGTCTCATACAGCGGGATTCTATCGTCCTGATAATCGCCTGACTGATAAGTCTCGGTCTCATATCCCATCAACTGCGGAATGGCGCCAGCACATTAATACGTACATTTATGAGGGGTGACAGCTAATTATACGTTGATCCGACCCTATTTCTCTTGTTTCCTTCAATCAAAAAATCCATAAAAGAGCAGGGTTAGAGACAACTGGAGAACTGATATGCTGTCGCCATTTCGTAGTTGATGGGATACGGTGGTCTCCAAACGTAGGTCATTTTGAATCGCGGTTGGAATATAGCCAATACCTCTGAGAATGAGCGACTGATGACCAAAGCAGATGAAGTCTCTCTCTCTCTCTCAGACACGTTGGGTACTGTTGAGTCTTTTGGAAAAGGGAAATGAGTCGCAGTGCAGTGGCGATTTGAGCTCTTCGTATTCAATTGCTAACAGCGTTGGACTGCAGACACAAGAGTCGTGATTGATTTCCCCGCAATTCCATTCTTGAGGAGATGCAATTTGTGTCCTTTTACTCCCTTTCTAACAAAGAGATGTTCGCTTCGGAAATTGAGGCTGACTTCATTTGCCGTTCCAGGCTCACAATATTGCATATGATCCGGGTCAAGACAGAGACGTTCTCTCCGCAGGATTTGCCTTTGAAGGATGTATGTAGGGGAATTAGCTACCCGCTCCTTCATGCTATCCGCACTCGAATGAAGCCTACCTTCCGGAGCTGTGGAACCCTGGGACAGGGCTTGGCTAAGCTTCAACTCTCCACAACTCGTACCCAACCATCTTCTTCGCTTCACGAACTTCTGCATCGGGACTCTGGGAGCCACTCTTGAAGCTATCCACTCCGCAATCTCTTCATCACAAGATGGTCTGGTGGTGTAGTTGGTTATCACGTCAGTCTAACAGTCCGAGATTATCTCATCAGACTCTCCTCCTGTTCCACTGAAGGTCTCCGGTTCAAGTCCGGGCTAGATCATGATTGGGCGATTGGTTTAGTGGTATAATGACCGCTTAGCATGCGGTAGGTCCTGGGTTCGATTCCCAGATCGTCCATCTTTTGCTAGTTATCATGCATGTATGGTTGAGAATGAGCCTCATGTTGACTTTTTAGTCTCTTAGGATGCTGCGTCACCCAATAGCTGCATGTCAGACACAAGGTTGCATCACCCCTGGCCATCTTGACAGTGACAACCCGGCAATTTGGAAAGCGACGTTCTTCCGATCAAGCCAATCGTTGAGAGATCGCCTTCGCCCAATAATAGGTGAGAGAAAGCGGATTTCCTTTTACGGTAGAGTGGCTGCTTACACGCGCTAGGGTGTGGAGTGGGAACTCTGTGAGCTGACATCGCGCTAAGGATCAGGGTCTCGGCAGGCTCTGCTGGGGTAGGACAGCCATAGACAGTATGGATATTGATTCGAATATGTAAAGAGAAGAGGCATTTGCTGTCCTTATTGAAGCAAAGCCAAAGGCAATGTGTTTAATACAGATATGTACGCTGTTAGTGTTCTAAGAGCTCATGATCAACCAACCTTATTTCTTCGTTACCAAGGATCCGGCCAGTTGGAGCCATTGGACTCATGATAGGTACTGTGTCTTCGTGCATGTATTGATGCGATGTGACAAAAAGAGGCTCATGTTGCCCATCAGACAGACAGAGTCATATCAGCAGAGTGCGAAAGATACTTGATTACTCCCACGGGATCCGAGACAGCCCTATGAAGCCCAGCTTTGCCCAGGCATCCAAATTACCGCCATTGACTACGTGGAAACGGGCGCGCTAAGAGGACCATCATCCCTGTTTGGCTTCCCTGTGAGGCCCACCCGCCTCCAATTCTACAGCTCACAGCTCCAACCAGCATGTTTTACTTTAGCTAGCCAGCAGATGGGATGGAATCTGTCAGCATTTAGGGACCCCTTTAAAGCTCAAACGTTTCGCCCAGATTTCCGGCAACATGTGGTGAACTACATCCCACATCTCTCTCGCTCAATCACCACGACAGCGTAACCGTCGGGCTTTGCGAACCAAGATGGCGCCCATATCGCAGCTTCTCCCTCCAGTTGCCAGCTTGTCAGGCGTCGGCTTGCTCGCGCTGGGGTCAGTGGCCCTGCTGTACATCATCAGCCGACTATTTTTCAGTATCCCTTACCCGAAGGGCATCCCGCTCATTGGCGAGCCTGATGGTGCCACGCGATTCAGCATCCGCACGTATCTGCGGTTCTATACCGATTGCCAGGGTCTGTTCCGTGAGGCCTACGATAACGTAAATCCTGTCTTGGTCTTCGCATCTCCTCCTGTTCGCTGACTTTAGACCTAGTATACCAAGAAGGGGAAGCCGGTAATCATTCCAGGTATCGGTTTCCGCCATGAGGTCATTATGCCCACGAGCTCGATGCGATGGGTTCAGACACAGCCGGAAAGCCAGCTCGATCCCAGCACCGCTTTTGCAGAGGTCGATCAGGTTCATTGGGCTCTTGGCCACGACCGATATGTGGTGGATGCTTGGCAAGGACACCTAGTCAAAACCGAGATGAATGCGATCCTGGAGAACATCTGCGCCGCCATGAACGAGGAACTCGGTACCGCCTTTGACAAGTGGTTTGGGACCAATCCGGAGTGGAAGGAAATCGACCTGTTTGAGTCGTTGAAGATGGTCGTTGCGCAGGCAGCGAGTCGCTTCACCATCGGCCCAGGCCTGGGCCTTTGTAGGTACCCTCCAGATGTACGGCTGCACAGAGAATTCAAGCTGACGGAAAGTAGGCCGTAACGAAGACTACCTCAATCTCAATTTCGATATTATCAACCAGCTCATCATGAACGCCGGCGCTTCCGGGGCCAGCCCTCGAGTTCTTCGACCTGTCGTAGGTAGGGCTGTCAACTTTACGATACATGGCAAGATCAACAGACTCAAGAAGATGTTCGAGCCGCTTTGGAAGGAGCGTCTCGAGACTTTGAAGTACGCTCGCGACGACCCTGACCACGTTGAGCCTCAAGATCACCTGCAGATGATGGCCCGTTACGCCAAGGACCACCGCCAAGAGGAGTTCAACGATTTGGACATGATGACGCGCCGTCTGATCGCAGCCAACTTCGGATCCATGCATCAAACTAGTATCCAAGCCACCAATATGCTTCTCAACATTTTGGGATCAGACACCGAGTTCAACACCATCACGACCCTCAGGGACGAGGTTGATCGTGTACTGTACGCCGATGGAGACAACAACTGGACAAAAGCCAAAGTGAGCAAGATGGTCAAAGCCGACAGCGTCGCCAGAGAGACCCTACGCCTCAACTCCTTTGGCGGACGTGCCGTCTTCCGGAAAGTCTTGGTAGATGGCTTCAAGACCCCCGACGGCTATCACCTCCCCAAGGGGACCCTCATCTCCTTCCTCGGACAACCCGCTCAGACGGATGGCGAGGTGCTGGAAGACCCGCTGAAATATGACCCCTTCCGCTTCTCTCGTATGCGTGAGGATGCGGCCGCAAAGGACGAGAAGGCGCCCCCGGTCACCTTTGTTACCACGAGCCCCGAATATCTGCCCTTTGGGCACGGGAAGCACGCATGCCCTGGTCGATTCCTGATCGACTTTGAGTTGAAGATGATCATTGCCTACGTTCTGGGTCACTATGACGTGGAGTTCCCGCCTGAATACAATGGCAAGCGTCCGGAGAACTACTGGCTCACAGAAGCATTGTTTCCACCAAACGGCGTCAAGCTTCGAATCAGAAGGAAGACGGAAACCAAGGGACAGTGAAGCAACCTATTGCTTGAGACATAGAAGCGGGAGATGCGGAAATAAAGTAATGATTTTGAGTTCAACGATGTGAAGCCGGTGAGATAGTTTGGGAAGTCGAAGAAGCACATGGGATACCTGGCCATACAAAACAACCGATTGATCCGGGAGACTTCTCACTACTTGTAGCGAGTCTTAATTAACTAGTTCTCCCCGCGCCATTGCAATGGCACATAAGATCTTTGAATTCATCTTGTAGCAAGTATGTGAGGTCTGGATGAATGTAGGATCTGGTATGGTGTAAAGGCCGAGTCGAGGCCCTTCAGATCTTGCCCCCTACTCAAAACCACTTTAAGAGTGCGGGAGTTGTAAATAAGCCTGGGCCAAGTCCAGCATGAAGGACTCCGTACACCCGTAGACCCGAAATATGTTTCGCCAATGTCAACACGCAATTCACAAGTCATTACCCCAGACGGCTTGTAGTGGTAGTCTATTTCATTCAAATATTCACATGCCATAACGCTATGCTATCGTGCTACAAAACGAGGAAAGCTCCCATAATCACGCCTTCAAGCTATCGCAAGGGATGTTGGAAGGCACCCCCGTCGGGTTGACAAAGTAGTCATGGTACCAGTACACCTGGTGCTCAGGCTTTGTGGACAAATTCGGCGCCGCATCGACGCCTTCGGTTGTCTTGAGGACAGTGTACTGCGTCTTGTAGCTAGAAGTAAAGTCCGGTCAAAAAAATGCTTTCTCACTCATAGTACTTTGAATCAAGCCTCATGCTTGACTTACTAAATTTGCGAGCAGTTGCCCGCCTTGAAGTTATTCTCAATGCGTCCATGAGCCTCGTAGACAGTCGCCGTCGCGTTGTTGTCTGCAATGAACGTTGTGTTGGGGAAGTGCTGTTTCATCTTATTAGCCAAAGACAGTTCGAGTATACTGCATACATGTAGGTTATATGCATAGAGAACAGGGGGACTCTACATACAGTAAGAGACATGCTACCATCGGTAGGCAAGAATCGCTGCTTGCACTTGGTGATGGCATCCGCGCCGACGCAGTGGATGCTCAGCGTCGTCTGCATGCCGTCCGCGGTGAAGAAGTCGGTGTACGCCGTCGTGGCGGTGGGATCTTCTGCGGGAGTGACGAGACTACACATCACAGACGTCAACATTCATTCATCAAATGAGGAGACTGGAGTTTGGGAAATTGTTGCGCAACTTACGCGTTGAGGAAGGCCTTGAACTCGGGCTGCACGCCGGGCTGCGGGTCGTAGTCTGTGAAGTCAATCGCCGCGACGAAGCGCGCGGCGAGGAGGGCGGGGAGAGCAAAGGTGAAATGCATTGTAGAATCTTGAAGTGCAAACAATCAGGGCACAAAAGAAAGAGTGACTTTTGTGAGCGCGCTTGGAATGAATGGGTAATGCTTGAGGTTGCTTGAGAGAGAATGAGGCTCTCGTAAGATGGAGCCGGTGGGATTTTATAGAAACATGAACTGCGTCTCGATAGCCGACATCGACGGGTTTAGGTGGGTAACTTAGTCAACGCAGGGCTGTGTCTACTATCGGCGTTTCGTACAAAAGGTGTTAATGCGACAGAACGAATTGTACAATTATGATAGCATAAGCGCCCAGGCCCCTATGTACTTCGTACGGCGAAAGCGAGAGCCTCTTTGAGTGGGCAATATGCTCTGCACTGCACTTTTCGCGGCCGGTTCGCCCCTTATTTCGGCCCAAGTTGACCGGTCCGTCCTAAACCTTAATAGACGACCATCTGGCGATGTTGCGGGATCCATAAGCAAGCATCAGTGTCTTTCGGGACTAATCAGTGAAACTGCCCGCCAAAAGTTCCCTGCGGTAGCAGCGGAAATCTGTCCCCAGATATACGGGAAAAGGCTGGGCCCGAGCTGGGGTGCACCCTGCCGGACATGGGATGAAGGTTTCCCAGGGCCTCCCGTTCCCGCAGAACGCCGCGCCGCCCGCCCCTTTTCTTTTCCTCGGAGCATCCGGCTGGACCGGTGCCGCCGATGGGGGAAGAGCTGACCGCCTGAGTCCTTTGAGATACACCCATGTCAGGAGGGTCTTTAGATCGGACTTGGTGTGATCGAAGGCGGGGTCTTTAAAGAGCTGGGTAAATGTCCTGAACGTGACGACAAGCTTCAGTATTCGTTGACTCTCGAGAATCCAACAACTAACTTCGTGTTCTTTCAACAAGCCCAGTCTTTACCGCAAACCAGGCAACCGCATCCTCAAAATGAAGCCCTCAACACTCCTCCCGCTCTCCGCAGCCCTCGTCGCCGCAGTCGACATGGCGCCCTACAAACCCTCCGCCGGCGTCGACGTCGCCTTCGCCGACTTCGTTTCTGAATACTACCGCACGTCAGAAGACAAAGCCGCCACCACAACGTTCACCAACTTCTGGCCCGCCTCCGGAAAGATGATCCTCGCGGGACGGACGTTTGAGGGCGCAACGGCCATGCTGGGCGTCAAGCAGTCGCTGCTCCCGCCGACGGGCAACAAGTCGTGGTGGCATCTGATCCGCGGCGCCACGGTGGGCGGGGAGACGGAGACGGATAAGACGTTTGTCGCGGAGATTGTGGTGCAGACTACGTATGTTGGGGGGAACTGTTCTCAGGCGTAGTAAGTTATCGCCCAATCCTGCATGCTCAAATTTGGGATGACGATACTGACGATGTCTTTGTTAGCGGAAGCGCGGCGTTTACGGTTCTGAAGGACGCACAAGGTACACCGAGGTTGGAGCCGCATTCGGAGAGTTTGAGTGTGTACAACCTCACGGTCTCGACGACGGATTCGCCCACGGATATTCCGTGCAGCAGTTCGTAGTGGGGCGGGCGACCATGATACAAGTAGCATTAGCTAGAAAGGATCAGATTCACGATTAGAAGCCAAAAAGTACTGGAATATGATCATTGTGGAAAAAAGCTCTGTTCAGTTCATCGTACTGGGTACTGTCCCGTATCCGCAAGTGACGAACATATTCTATCGTATCATATCGTAACCAATAATGCAAGTATCGCTCTCTAATGCCGTAATGACAGGTTTTGCCCTCCGTCCCAGTGTGCCGAACCATTCCACACGTGAATTTTGGTGCCCCGAGCCCCATGAACGCCCCCCAAAAGACAAGATTGGACTAAGGTGTATGTTGTAATACCCGTTGTATATACGTACGCAAAAAAGAATCCGGTCGTAGAATCGTGCCAAGGAAATGGAAATCCAAACAAAAAGCCGCACTAAATGGTATCGTAGCTAGTAACATGTAACAGAGGAATGGAAGTATATGCAAAAATAAGAGTCTGTGAAGAAGCGGATCATGAATGATAATGACTGATCACTGAGCCTTCTCAATATCTCTGGTGTTTGTGTTCATGTTCTCCTCCTGGGTGGAGATGACAATCTCGGGCGCAGCAACCTTGGCGTCGTCAGAGCCCGAAGAAACACCCGCGTCCTCGGATACGGCGTCAGCCTCGGTAGTCTTCTTGCGACGGAAAGCGGCACCGATGGTGGTGAAGAACCTGCCGAGGGCGCGGTAGACGATAACAACGGGTCTGCCGACCGTCTTTGCAACCTTCTCAAACCAGGGGTCGGGGAAGAGACGGATGAGGACGGCCATGGGGAGAGAGACGGAGGCGAGAACGATGGAGACGGCCCAGTGTTCGCCGCTGATACCGCCGGGTGTGATGCGGAAGGCCTTACCACCGACAAAGATGATAGCAACCTGGGCGCCAACCATGATGCAGTTGATGACGATGAAGAAGTAGTTGCGGTGCACGCCCTCAAAAATGTTGAACTTGTTGTCCAAGCGACGGTTGTTGAACTCGTTGAAGATTTGCATCCACACAAAGGTGTTGAAGATCATGGAGTCGAGCTCCAGCTGCTGGTCTTCGTTGTGGGCATCGTAGCCGAAGATGGCGTTGCCGGCGAAGTGGAGGATGAGAGTAGCGGTCAGCTGGAAGATTGCCTGGCCGATGATCATCTTCCACATGTTGATGGTGATGAGGGGCGCCTTCTTGCCTTGCGGCAGGCGGTCGAGGATCTTCTCGGTCGGAGGGTCCGTGGCGAGCGCAAGGGCGGCGAAGGTGTCCATGATAAGGTTGACCCACAAGAGCTGGACGGCGGTGAGGACGGATTCCATGTCGGGATCGGAGACGGCGGTGATGAAGGCGAGGAGAACAGCAGTGATGTTGACCGTGATTTGGAACTGGGCACAATCATGTTAGCTTCAATCGATAGGAAAAGGGTTATGTGTGTCTGCATACCTGAAGGAACTTCTGCACGGCGTCGTTCACTGCTCTTCCCCACTTCAGGGCCGTGACAATCGAGGTGAAGTTGTCATCCATCAAGACGATAGAAGACGCCTCCTTAGCGACCTCGGTACCGGAAATACCCATGGAGAAACCGACATCAGCTGCCTTGAGTGCAGGCGCATCGTTAGTACCATCGCCAGTGACGGCCACGGTTTCACCAAGAGCCTTGAGTCGGGTGACCAAGACGCGCTTGTCCTCTGGAGAGGAGCGGGCAAGGACTTGCAGGCGGGGCAGCATCTCGTTCATCTGCTCGACAGAAAGCTTCCTAAAGACAGGACCCTCCATAATGAGACCACCCTCGGTGAAGATGCCGCACTCGGTGGCAATAGCCTGGGCAGTGACAGCATTGTCACCAGTAACCATGCGAACGACAACACCAGCGTGTTTGGCCTTGCGGACAGCTTCGGGAACACCAGGACGGACGGGGTCCTGGATACCAACGACACCGGCAAAGACGAGGTCGTGGAGGACGTCTCCGAGATCGACGTGTCCTTCGATGGTGGCGTTGACGCCGTGAGGGGGCCATTGAGGAAAGTCTTGGTAGATGAGTGCGATGGTGCGGAGAGACTGCTTGGCGTAGGCGTCAATCGTCGCCTCGAGGTTGAGGCGGTCGGACTGCTCCAGAGTCGAGATGGAGAGATCGTTGACGTTGACCTGTTGGCTGCAGTACCCGAGGAGAATCTCGGAAGCACCCTTGACTACAAGGCGGTACCCATCGTTGCCGGATAGCTTGATGACGGCACCCATGCACTTCTTGCTGGAGTCGAATGGCATCATTTGCGCAACTTCCTCGTTGGCACGAGTCTCGGCCAGCCCCTGCATACCGAGGTGGTCCTTGGCGAACTGGAGAAGGGCGGTCTCGGTCTTGGAACCAATGAATGTAGCCTGGCCTTCCTCCTCACCCTCGAAAGCGGTTGAGTTGATGGCGACAGACTGGACGATGAGCTTCTTCGTAGCTGTAGGAAGTGATTGAGCAAACTCGACGGCGCCGATTGTCTTCTCGCCCTCAACCGACTTGGAGAAGCTGGCAGATCCGAACGTGCCGGCAACAACAGTCATCTTGTTCGTGGTCAGAGTACCAGTCTTGTCGGAGCAAATCGTAGTGGCGTTGCCCATCGTCTCGCATGCCCGAAGGATACGGACCAGATTGTTCTCCTTCAATAGACGGGTGGTAGCGAATGCCAAAGCCAATGTTACAGCCAGAGGTAGTCCTTCTGGGACGGCAACGACGATGATAGTGATGGCGACGATCAAGATATCCATGAAAGTGGAAGCCTTCTCGGCGCCAGAGCTGTTGTTGGAGCCCAAGCCAGCCAGGAAGCGGATGAGGAGGACGACAAAAAGGAGAAGGGCAGCACTGCTACCAAGCTTGGCAATAGCCATAGCGAGGCCCTCGAGCTTCTTCTGCAAAGGCGTTGCCTCCATCTCGGTGCGTACCGACATCATAATCTTTCCAAAGCTAGAGTTGGTACCGACGGATGTGCAGACAAACGTGCCAACACCCTCGAGAACCTTGGCGCCAGAGATGATAAAGGGGTCGAGGTCCTTGGTAGCGTTTCCAGATTGCAGGGCGTTGTAGACGGCATCACCGCCCGTCTTCTTGAGAGCGTCGGACTCACCCGTCGCCGAGGACTCGTCGCACTTCAAATCATGGCCGCTGATGAAGATACCGTCCACGGGAACGAGATCACCGGGCTCAAGGTGGATAACATCGCCGACCAAGATCTCTGCGACGTTCAACATATAAGACTTGCCGGATCGAATAACCTTGACCTCACGGTCTTCCTTTTTGGCGTTGAGCTTGACAAAGGCTCGCTCCTTCTGCCAGTCGTTCAAAGATCCAACCAAGGTGACGATCAAAATAGCAGCAATGATTGCTACTCCTTCAACCCAGTCAACCGGCTGACCTGCCTCAGGGTCGTGCTCAGCACCAAAGGTTTCGTAAAGGCCAAGCGCAAGCGAAATAGCGGCGGCGACTGTAAGCAAAATGATAACTTTGTCGTTGTATGCACCCCACATGAGTTTCCACAAGGGTGTCGCCTTCTTGGCGGGCAGGACATTCTTGCCGTAAACTCGGGTTCGGTCAATGAAACCATTGGCATCAGCGTGGTGTGCTGTGGCTGGTGGCTGTGCACCGGATGTGGCGAAGGAGGGCTCCTGATGGCCGGTGGCCTCCTGGAAGCTTACTCTGCCCCCAACGCCCACCTCATCTTGGGACAAACCGGCTTTGACATCTGTCTGTAGTCCTTTTTCGATACCGCGCAGGCCGCCAAGCGCGAAAAAAGCTGCCAAAGATTTCGGGTTGAGAAGTTTGTTGAGGTGCCCAGGGCTAAAAGCAAAAGGATTATTATCAACGACAAAGTCGCCTTCCGTGCCGGGATCGGGGTGAAGAGCTGTATCCGGATCTTCCGTTAAAGCGGTTGAATGCATACTTGTTGCAGCGCTGATTGCCGGCGTGAGAAACGGATTTGAGTGCGTCGATATAGGTGACGGCGTTATCGCGTCGTCGTTGTCATTACCGCGAGAATTGCGGGTGTCGACGCGCAACTGGGGTGGTGCGAGAGACGCCATTAGCACCGATGCAGAGTAGTCTTGAGTTGATGCTATGACTTTCTCATGGACGAGGTGGAAATGAAGTTGAGGAAAGAGTTCTAGGGAGAGAGAAAAGAGAAACTGTTTGCAATAATGATGATGCTAGGTAGCAGGAGTTGGTGTAACCTCCGGCGAGTTGAAGAGTATTAAGAAGGCAGAAGGGCAACACACGAGCTGTACAACAAGGCTGTGTAGGAGGCGACTTGCGTACGGAGGTGTCTTCGCGTTCCTTCCAGGTAGAGAGAGCCTCAAAGGCGCACCAAGAATTCCAAAACGCTGAGCGTGAAGACTTCCGTGAGCCTTGGCGTAACTGCGCCCTTAGCCCCGTCGAAGAGAGTTTCCGTTTCTTAAGTGTACACCGACGCCGTCAAGTCAGCCTGCGTGCCTGCTGAATGGTGACAGCACAAGAGGGCAGTGCAGAGAGGAGGGGTTCGATTCCGGGCGAGAGGCGATAGTCTACTTTCCGTCGGATGGCGTGTGGAGTTGAAGAGAGTAGTGCGGGATAATCAACCTTGAGTAGCCGTCATGTTTGAGATGACCTTGAGAAGTCCTCACACAAGACGAGACTGATGATGAGGAAGAAGAGTTTTCAAGAGCGTTAGAGGTATAGGCTGATGTTGTCTGGAATCTTGGACCGGCGAGACTTGAGAGTGGCAGTGCAGAACGAGTGTTCACAACGACATGCCCTTCTTGGCAAGTCAAGAGGGTATGAAGTCAACCGAGACCCCACAGAGACAGGATGGATTGGCCAGAGAGAAGCCAAATGATACGTGCATCAGAGGAGGGGAGAAAAAAAGGCGCGCTTGTTTCTGGACTATCACAGCAGGAAGCATATGCTGGTCTTGGCGGTCAAGTAACAGAACAAAAAGTCTTGCACGACGTGATCAAGAGGGGAAGGAGCCAACAGAGAGGAGCCAGGAGAGGAGCTCCGATGGAGAGATAGAATGATGTGCCGGGGGGAGAGGCTCTCATCTTGGGTGAGATTAGCAAGACTAGCTGGTGCAAAGGTGAGCCAAAGGGTGAGAAGGAGGTAACCGCCCAAGGTCTGGGCATTGAGGCTGTGCAAGAGGGAAAAGTGCAAAAGGACCCGATGAGGGAATTAAATTGGAGCATCAAGAAGCGAGCTCTGTTCAGTGGAAGAACGGCTTGAGTCGGGGCCATCCTAGAACCGCTTTGCAACAACGAGATGGGAAACCAAACCAGGGGGAAGAATGGAGACTGACAGCGTGTAAATGGGATCTTGGCAACATTGGCCATGCCAATGTTTGAACCTTGGCGTTTTGTTGATGCAAGTGCCGGGACCTTATCGCGTTTGATTCCGAGGTATTCGTTTTCAATCTAGCTGGACTTCTCCAGACGAGACCGAGGTTTGCAGGTACCGCCGTGAGCGACTGTCAATATGGACATATACGGATATTGCGCCCGAGACTTGAGTGGCGTGCTCATCCTTCGGGTCGCAACAGGTGCGGTCCAGTATGTATCGTGCCATTCGGCCGCCCGGCGGGGGTGGCTACCGTTAGATAGACGCCGTTGGCATCCGTGCTGTTCCCGTGTCCGATCGGTGGCCGGCCGTATTCAAGATGGCGTATCGCTCTCAATCTCTTGATACTACCAAGGGATTGAGACGCACGCAAGCGTTTGGGGAGCGAACGCAATCGGGTGCCCTTCGTTTGAAATTCGGTAGATCCGCTTCTCTCCCGCACTGGCGAAAAGAGCCACCAAACTGCTGTGGTAAAATGGCGATGGCTTCATCGACCAGCAGGACTCGAGGAGTGACCGACCGATGCAGGGCCGAAGGTACACGGGCAGCGGCGAATGACCACTCGGTGTCAGCGGGAGACAGTTTCCCGTGGAGGATGGTCGGAGAGGTTTCGGACTGGCAAAGTTTGATGACGGAATGGGTGCATGAATCGGGGACATTGTCCGTTCATGGTCTCAGTCATATCCGGACTCCGTGCCACTGCCCCATACTCTGTACTTGGGAATCGATACCTTGGGGGCTGCCAGTGGCCACAAGGAGATATTGAGAACGAGATCCATCAATATCATCCCGCGGTGGAGTTGTTGGCTCAAGTCTGGGCGGCCGGGTCAGCATTTCGAGGTGGAGTTTGAAGGCATTGCGGGAGAATTGAAACGTGAAGCTCGAGGCGAATCAGTCGACGGGCAGCAACAATAAGCTAGTGATGATAAGCTCTTGGCTCTATCCACACGGAGTGGTGATGTGAAGAATGAAGATGGGGAAGGTTTAGGAGAGGACCGGAGCAACAGTGTGGAGAAGAGGAACGGGAGGAAATTGATCGAGGAAAACAAAGTTTGTGAGATGAGAAAAAGGAGGAGTCACGGCACAGAGTGAACAAAAAATGTGTACATAGACCATCTCGAAAAGACAAAAAGAGGAGCCAAGAAATGAGAAAAAAAAAATAAAAAGGGCGGTCGCGATGCACAGTCACAGTCGAATCAAGCTCGGAGTGGAGTCCCCGGGTGTCGTGGGGGACCACGCTAGTCAGCGCCAAGAGTGGCTGTGGCAGGCACGCTCCAAGGGTTCCATTGGTTCGCTTAGCTCAAGCCGAAGCAGATGGTCCACATCGGTCCATATCAGGTAAGCAGCTGCAGGCAAGGATCGCACGCACCTACCTTCCCGTGCAGCTGGTGGCAACTGCTCTTGCTCACTCTTTCCTCTATGGAATTTCAGAGTTCTGGAACATCTTCGGGAATCCGCTGGGCTGGTTGACCAATGAACTCACAACATGTTCGATACGTACCGCCAAATGTCCATGGAAGTCTCCAGGTCTCCACCGTCTGATCCAACTCGTCATTCTGCAACCTGCATCGATGCACACCACATGGCTTGCACCACATCACAGCAGAGCAACCCGGAAGCTTCAATATCCATCCTGGTATCGTACGCAACCTCTCAAGTCCACAGGCGTTTGGCCCAGTCCAAAACTCTTGGCTGGCATTACACCAGCGCCCAACGAACGCCTTGACTCGAGCATTTTCCAGAACTAATATCATCTAGCGCCACCTGGAGCGCTTCCCTTTTCTGTCTAATGTATCATCTATCTCTCTGCATCCCGATATCTGCAATGTTTCAAGCATTAACTACCGTGATTGCGGAAGAATGTCAAGGTCACCATCCCGGTCGCTGCATACTCAACGCGGGGAACGCGGGGAAGCTTGTCGTCTAGCCAGAGAATCTTGGCCATGATCCCCTGAACAAGACGGTCTAGCTTCGACTGAATTGCATTCAACTTGTCCACCTGATCTCGAAAGGGTGTATCGCTTGAAGCATCCAAGTCAGGAAACCATCCATCATCAGCATGGGGGTTTCCGCCAGTCTACAGCGCTGTTCTGTGAGATGAACTAGCGTCGCGTTGATCTGTCAAGTCCTACAGCGTAACGATGCCATGCAGGCAAACATGTTGCCATGTCGTATCTCATCCATAAAGGAGACATTATCGCCTTTGCGCATGTCAATCAACGAATCTGCCTGGCTATCCAATTTTTGGGTATCGTGGCTGGTGTCATTGCCCGGTCCATTTGCGAGTCCTCGCGTAGCTTACATTCGATTGTCATCAAGCTTTCCTGTCATTGCGGTGCCAGCACAGACGGCGCTTCGCATCATTTCGTTCAACCTGCCAAGAAATTGGTAGTCCAAGGCTGACTTGAGGTCATACTCGTTCTCGCCACGAGGCTGAGCAGTGAGCACTGAGCAAGATGGGGTTCAACCTCCACGCAGATGGGACAAACGATCCCAGTGAAGTCCGCAATTGGCGCATTCACATGATAGCGGTCATTGCCTCAATGAGTGCTATCGCCAGTAGGTTTCACTCCGCCCCCCAAGTTCAACAGAGACGGCACCTAGACTAACACAGCCCAGTGGGTTACGACACCTCTGTCATAGGTGGCACCATGGCTCTGGACTCATTCCGCCGGGATTTCGACCTTGCAGATAGCTCGCCAATTGTCCGTGATACTCTCCAAGGCAACATCGTCTCCACGTTTCAGGCAGGATGCTTCTTCGGTGCCCTGCTCATGTTCCCCTTGGCAGAATGGCTCGGCCGCAAGAGAGCAATCATGATCTCTGCTCTCGTCTTCCTGGTTGGCGGGACTCTCATGACAGCCTCCCACGGAGAGATTGGACTCCTGATTGCCGGAAGAGCCGTCGCGGGCTTGGGCATCGGTGCTACGTCTCTCATTGTCCCTGTGTACATTTCGGAAATCAGCCCGCCGTCCATTCGCGGCCGCCTCGTTGGGCTATTCGAAATTGCATCACAGGGAGGAGGCATGTGTGGCTTCTGGGTAAACTACGCGGTGGATCGCACAATCTCAGACTCAACACAAACGCAGTGGATTGTACCCCTAGGCCTGCAGTTACTTCCGGGGGTCCTTTTGTTCTTTGGCATTTTCCTGTGTCCAGAGTCGCCTAGGTGGCTGGCAAAGAATGATAGGTGGGAGGATGCCACGAGAGTCTTGGTTCATGTCCGCGAGCTGCCAGCGGACCATGACTATGTCAGCACCGAGATCAGTGATATTAGACGGCAAGTAGAAGACAGCAGCGCGAATCGTATGACAAAGTCTCAAATGTTCAAGCGCTTGTTTGAGAAGGGCTCTCGCAACCGCATCGGCATCGGTCTGCTTCTGATGGCCTGCCAGAATCTGACAGGGGTCAACATCATCACATACTGTGAGTGAAAGAAGACGTTATTCGACTCGGGTGTTTTCCCACTGACAAGAGAGAATAGACTCCCCTCGCATTTTCGAGACTCTTGGCATTACAGGCACGAGCACCAAGCTTTTCGCAACGGGCTTCTACGGTATAGCCAAGACCCTCGGCATGGTCATCTTTACCGTCTGGCTCGCCGAAAAGGTCGGCCGGCGCAATGGTCTCATCTGGGGTGCCTTCGTCGGATCGCTGCCAATGTGGTACATTGGCGGCTTCACATTTCTTGCGGACCCTGCGGGCCAGGCGGCTGCTGGTAATACCGACCGCAATGCATGGGGGTATATCGCCATGGTTTGCGTGTATCTCTATGGCTTGATCTACTGCGCCACTTGGTAAGGCTCCTTTTGCTAGTATCGATAGTCTGTAAGTGAGGCATGAACTCTAATCAACCCAACAGGCAAGGCATCACATGGCTGTACTGCAGCGAGGTATTCAGCTTAGATATCCGCATGCTCTGCGTCGCAATCACAACAGCAGATCAATGGCTGTGGAGCTTCATTGTCTCACGGACTACGCCTTACATGATTACGTCGCTCGGCTACGGAACTTACATGTTCTTCGGCGCTCTCATGATCCTGATGGGCGTGTGGGCTTTCTTCTTCGTGCCGGAAACCAAAGGTAAGTTTTGTTTCCTACGCTCACTAGTCTCTACTGCCGTCAGAGTGTATTATCCTCAGCCGCTTTCTCCGTCGTCGTTGTCCTTGTGGCTGACGCAGGCGCCACGTGCTAGGTCTCACGCTGGAAGATATGGATCTACTCTTCATGAGGAGCATGCACACCACGGTCTGGACCGCTTTGCGAGAACGCAAGAGCGTCAAGGATGTCTTGGCGGATACTTCGCCCGCCGCTGTCTACGCGACTGGCTTGGAGGAGAAGGAGATTCGGTTAGAGTACGTGGATACTGTGGAAGACAAGTCAGTGGCAAGGTGAGATGGCGAAAGGACATTAGACGTCCTATGTTGAGAGAGATGGACTAGGTAGTTCCACGGCGGCCTCTTTTGCAACGCCTCGATTGGGATTTTGTTATTTCGATCATTCGTTCGACTGATTGCTCGTTCAATCAAATGGTACTTACGACTCTGTGCGAGGTACTTTCGGTTTTGCCAAGCCCCGCTGTCGACTTTTGCACTGCCCAGCGCGAAAATGTGCACTGCCACCGGTAATTATGCGGTGTGACGTAGTTTTGTAACTCTTGTCTTTGCAAAGAGCGAGTTAATCTCACCGTTTCGTGGTGGAAAATTCTTGCTGAGATGTGGTGTGTGTCTCGACTCTCCAGAGGTTGGTGGGATGCGCCAAGCCTTATCTCAACGAGGCGCAGTTCACCGACTTGCAGTGCTTCGAGTGGTTGGGAGCCAAGCTTGCACTGACAGCTGCCGCACTAATATTCGAATAAATCGCGCCCTTTCCTACAGGCCGATTCACGAGTTGTAGCGTTTTTTTCTGAATTTCGCATCGGCGTATCGCGGAAAATATGTTGACCTGATAGACGCTTGTTGTTGATCTGGCCAGGCCTCATACCGTGCAATGTGATTGGTCGTTCTAGGCCTACTTGGCGGCTCGATATCCAACCTTCCCAACTTTAATCAGTGTCGAATAGCCCTGGCGAAGAGGGTGATCTAAGCATCACTTCCATCAAACGGGCCGACGCTCGCCCAAACATGAACATGTTTATTGCATTAAGATTTGTCGACCAGGCAGATTCTGCGCTGAGGGCCTGAGACACGCACTCTCGCTGGCAGTGTCATTATGCTAGCCTGCATGGAATACAACGCAAGTTACATGAGCTTTGTAATTGCACTTGATTTACAATTAAAGCCATCGTACGTTACATCGCCAATTGACAAAAAGTCGGCGTTCTCGGTGACGCCTATTCCCGGTGGGATTGATCTTCTCAGAGTCCGGCCCGGAGTCAAGGGGCCTTGTTCAATTCCCCGTCTGTCCGATCGAAACGGTCGGCTAACACAGCCTCCGCCCAGTTACGCGGGACCGGAGATTACTGCTGACCTTACCTACGACTGCGGGAACGAGAACGAGGGAGTTAGAGTCTTTGTCGTACAATGTCTCAAGGATGATGATGGTGGTACGGGATTTTGAACGGAAATGCTTGTCTATGGATTGATTACATCCGGCCAGGAGTCGCCGCTCTCAGAGTGTCCATGCTGCTACCACGATCAACCCATTGAGTTTGTGGCCCTGTTAAGTTACAAGCAATCCAAAGGCAACCACCCACTAATTAACAGTGAGGGTCGAGCCAGCTGAGACCGATATTGTGTTCATCCACTTCATATTCTTATGACAATGAATCTACCTATGGGGCACATTGCCTTGGATGATCGTGACTCTCGCCCTGGCTGAGCTGCTGAAAAGCGCTTTAGCAACGCCGACATCATTCCTGCTCCAGACATAAAAGCAACCCAGCCTCTCATACTTGCCCTTCTCCAACTGTGACTCCTTCAGAACCAAGAATGTCGCGAGGCGAAGGTACTCCGTGTCTTCCACAAAGGCTTCAACTAACTCACTCGGTAGCTCGCATGCCGGCAAGCGGGCCACAACAGCCGTATCTTCGTCACTCGTCTCAGCATTCTCCCTCTCACCCGGCATCCTCCATGTCATCTTCACCGGATTGCTTAAGCCACCAACCGTAGAGGCGCGTGGCTCAGACGCTTGATGTAGACCATGTTATCGCCTCCAGGGTCGTAGTATGTCTTATAGTCAAGGGCAGAGAGGTTTTGATTCGACCGAAAGAGATCCTGGTTATCCGAGTTGCTCCCGTTGGTGCTGAGCGTGAATGTGGCGCCAGAGTATACCGCGCACATGATGGCCGCTTCGTGGGCCCAATCCTCGAGAGAATCTTGAACGATACAGCGCCGGTCGATCCAGAGATGGTCCAACCCTAACGTTCTTGCTGCATGAACTGCATCTCCAATCATTTTTGGAAGTTAGCTGATTGAAATACCAAAGTTATGATGAGTCTGATAGTTATCCTTGGTGGTGATGAGGCCCGGTCGGCCTGGACTCCAACAGTAGCTCAACGCAGCGTAACTACCTTCAATGCCCTTTGTCTCTTTTAGATAAACGCATGAGAATTCCTGGCCTCGAAACACCAAGACACGCAACGGCAGGATATGCGGTGAAGTTCCTGCACACTTAGAATGTTTCTTTCAGCAGTCATAGAGCCATGATTTAGCAAGCTGGAGGGCTTCGTCGGATCCTGAGCTAGGTAGCACCTTGCAGATTTCAGCCTGCCAAGTTGTTCTTTCTCCTTCTGGAATGATTTCGTTGACGTCCATCTCGTGAGACGAAGCTTCGGGGAAGAGGTTAGCAGCCTGAGCCTTGTTCAACTCGTGGCGAATGAACTCTTTGCGCAGGCATCTCCTTTTCCATATCCGCGGCATTCTGCCCCTCCTAGCAGACTTTTCCCAGCGCGTTTCAAATTCTTCAGTCGCGAGATGAGAAACGATAGAGACGTTCAACCGATCCCTCCACTGCTCCCTGATTCTAATTGCAACATCCTCATCATCGTCAGGAGGCCACTTGAGGCCTTCTGGAGTAGAAACTGAGCAAACAGTCTCCACACAAAAAGTACAGAGCCCACAGCTTCTAATCTTAGCGACTCCCTTGAGTGTACCACTCTTCACTGAGAATTCCTTGTAAGACCCACGATGCGTGTCAGCAGGCTTGACTTCGAGTCGTTCGACATCTTCGCACACGGTGCAGACGATAAGCTGTACTTGCACCAGTCAATGGCCTGGGGCGCGATCAATGCCCAGACCTAGAACGACTACGCAAGTCGAATAAAAATCTGCCTGCGTTATTGCACAGTCTAGACACCAGTAACGGAGGCCTGAGTTCAACTCTTAATCATTTAGATCATTGCGTAGCTTCTCGCGCCCGTCGCAAGTTGCGTCGCCATGAATTGGCGGGTCAAGAATGATACGATTGCGAAGGGCATCGTGGAACTCGTATAAAGAGTTGGCGGCTTCAATTTCAGAATCCTGCAGTTTCTAGATGGTTCTCTCGCGGAGAGGTAAGACATGATGTGTATTTATCCAGTATAATAGTGACATAATTCAGTTGTCTCGTCTCGGGGGCACTGAGAGTTTAGATCCAGGTTGTGCTCTGAGACAGCAATTTATAACCGACTTGCCCTTCGTTTAAGATATGCGACTTGTTTGTTGATCGCAGGCAGTACGCATTTCGCGCCTCAGCCTTACATGCGCTCCAGGCCCTTATCCTGTAATGCGTGACTCTGACTGTACGGCAACGTGGGCTAGGCAGAGGCTTCTGTGGGAAACACCACCATTGCGATGCTGGGCTAACTTTGGAACTTACCCCCCATATCAGACAGATGCCGCTGTCATGGAAATGGATTTAATCAATGTTCACCGTACTCACCCAAAGCCTCACGTAGGTGCTCGATGTGATGCTAGCTCCAATAGAAGTAAACACTTACACAACTACCTACTTCAACCACATGCAATAGCTTCTGTAATCAACAAGCGCCATCAATATGTACGCTGAGGGCCCTGGGGTGTTCGAAGTTAATCGATGCAACGGGAATATCGACACTACTTAAAGTACCTAGTCAGCGCTATCAGTTCCTTCGAACCTCATCTTGCTTATGGCCTTTAAGGTGCGTAGAGTTTGTTGCCTACTGGTTTCCAATACATAGAACCCCCGGATTTGCTTCTTGCTCTGGCAAGGACAGATCTGAAGTAGAACGCAAGGCTGACTGCCACTGCTCAACATGGCCATTTTACGTGATACTTCCGGCTCACGTTTGTCCATCTGTGTGATCCAATACTACTCCCTTTATCAAGTTGCTTTCATTAGGGTATCATCTTTGAAATCCGATATGGGCATAGAGGGGTCGGCGACAGGGGCTTCGGGTGCTGTGCGGACGGATGAGGTTGCTTCCGTAACGTACCTGACTATGAGAGTCAATCGAGTCCTTAGTCTGCTCCATCAATCCGCATTCCGCGAGGGAAAGACCGAGCCCTCGGCAGACTGTGGAGTGACGATATACTAGCTCGTGCGAGGTGAATAAGGCTCAAGACTAGACAGAGACAGGCTCGATCTTTTCATCCAAGCTACCTCGTCTAATGTCATCCTGGCCGAGATATGCTTATTCAGAACTCATCACAGTAAAGTCCATCAATACCCACGCGACTCGCTACCGCACCATTGGTAAGTTTACGCTTGGTGACAAGGGCCGGGGAAATTTGGACGAGAGACATGTGCATTTCTCCACCGGGCATTTCTTGCTGGGGAGAACGTAATGCAAGATACTGGCTTTAGTCCTGTTGAAGATTGCCCAAGGCAAACGTTGCGAACATTATTCTGGATCCCGCGCTGTAGAATTCATGTTCGGGTCGGCCGAGCCTGCCAGTGGGATGATATTGTTGGGGCTTGTCGTATCACAACATGAAACGCCTAGGACGCCCTATCTGCCAATGAAGCCAGGAATGACTGCAAGACTTTGCATTTCCATGGACACAAGTGGCTATGCTACTACATTGCAGAATCGGAAGTAGGCATGGAAAATGAAAGCCACAATAAACTGAGGGGACGACCTGGAAAGAAGTCCCATCGGTAAAGACGGATGAACCCCTACGTCTGAAAAGAAGAGTCAAACGTGCAGAGCTGACGTTGGGTTTGGACTTCATCTGAACTTATTAATACTCGACTGTATCATTGGTTTGACGCTAAACTCTGTTCTAGACCAGGCCTAGTAGATCCTAAAGCTTGTTTTAAAAGTTCCCCCGCAAAGCGCCTTCCGGAGGCGGGCCCCGGACTCATTGAGTGCCTACCAAAGGCATGGTCCCCTTACATTAGAGTGTTACCACAGCGTCGGTCTCGGTTCTCCTGCTCGGAAATCGAGGCGGCCTCGGCAGCTCGGCCGACAGGTTGCCTCGACTTATTGGTATTCACGAGATCATGGACGCGAGTAAAGCTTCATGATGTTGCGTTTTCAGTCTAGCTCACGGGTTCGGCTGTGGTTTCGGGTGATTGACCCCTGAACAGGGGATGAACTGGTTTGTTCATGAGTCTTCTTTCGACCTCTGGTTGGGGAGGTATAATATCATGTTCGGCTGGCCATCAAATCTTATTTCTTTGTACCAATTAGTTCCTTGATATTACAGTAGATCCGTCTTTCGATATCAATCTTCCAATAAGTCAATGTGTCAGGTCCCCTTCCACGCGAGGCTCTTCGGGCCGTGGCTCGCCGCCGCTGCGGTCCTGGTTCTCGGCCAGGACGCGGCAGATAAGGCAAAGTTTGGTGACCCTATCAACGTCCTCGGTAGTGTAAGTGCCCTTTCCGTCATCCTAAAATTCAACTTCAATTTGCTAAAGACAACGTCCATCAGATGGAAAGAACCGACCAGGACTTCCAGGACGGCTTAGCACTAGATCTCTTCTCACCCAAGAACCGCACGCTGGTCGTCCAACAGAACCTCACCCCGCTACCGGGCAACTTCGTGACGGGCACCACGGGCGGTCCCTTCATGGCCCTCCAGAACTACTCGTACGTCATCAGCCTCAACGAGTCGGCAAACGACCTCATCGCCAAGATCGAGATCCCCTACGACCCGACTGCTCTCGCCGCGATCGGCATACAAGAGAGCAACACCTACGTCGGCACGCTGGCTGGTGACAAACGAAGCTGGATCGTCAACGACGCGACGCGCAACGTGCATAGAGAGGAGAACAATACGCGGATCATCAAGATGACGTCGCTCCAGGGCGAGTATATCCTGCTCGGGCGTAAGACGGTGGATACGGCCAACGAGTTCGTGCAGTATGGTCAGGGAGCTACGAGGACGGTCAACGTCACGGCGGGGAATCGACAGGAAGCCGAGTTCATCGACGGCTTGAGGCTGAGTGTTGTGCCGAGTACCGACATGGGCATCAACATTGATATCGTGAATGGGATTTCGCCGCAGGCTGTTCCGCCGGGGTTGGTGCCGGTTAATAGTTTTGCATGGGTCGTTAACTCGAGTTCGCCTGGCGCTCCTATGCTCGCAGATATGAAGTTTCCGTGTAAGTCCTCTTGCAAAAAGCGCCATCAGCCACACATGATGTACCCCTTGAACTGACAGTCTGGTATCTAGTTAATCCTTCAATGCTATCCGCCGTTCGAGGTTTTGTCCAGCCAGCCCCAGTCAGGGTGGCAAAGAAAGCACTTGGGACTACTGCCGAAGTACCGTTTCAACTTATGGCCGGGGAGATTATTGGAATTTTGCCAGACAACTCGGTTACCATTCCCAATGTAACACAAGTAGACGGACAGTACGTGTTGCTCATGGTGTCATAAGTTCATTTCATCAAAGGTAGATAGTATATTCCTTACTCGATAACAGTCACAATGACACAAGTGTTTACCGCTTGCGTGACCATTGATTGCATTTGAACGTACCACCTCGCTTGAAGGTTGGGCTTGAAGATAGTGGCTGCCGTACAAGCCGTAGTAACATGTTTCCAAATCTTGGCAAAATATGATTAGAACGGATGCTGGCCAAACATTAAACATTGAAACTATGTAGGTATGTAGTCACACTCTCATCGCCCTCGAGTCCAGCCCCTTCATAAACACCAATTGCAGCCTCCCCCTCCTCACCCTACCGATTGACCCCATCTCAACCAAACCCCCTAAGCACAAAGCGTCAAAACAACATCCTGATCCGCCGTACAGACCTTAACCTGACTACCCCCAGGACTAACACCGCCCTCCCACACAATAGCAGGACAGCTCGCAAGCCGACTCGCGACAACAATCTTGCTCCCCTTGAAACCGTCCCCGAACACGGTGCTCAAATCGTACCACACTCCCGCGCCGTCCAGGTTATACGCGTACACGAGCTGCGGCGCGCCCGTGTACAGGCCGTCGCGCGCGCGGGTGACTTTGAGGGCCCGGCCGCCGGTGGTCGGGTCCCGGGTGAAGGTCTCGCTGTAGGAGCCGCCCTTTGCGGCCAGGGGTCCGGCGGCGCGGACGTCGCCGCCGACGGACCAGAGGGAGACTTCGGTTGCGCAGTTGTTTACGACTGTTGCTTTGCCGAAGGCTGCGGTTTGGGTTGCGGCGGCGAGGAGGGGGATGAGGAGGGAGGTGAGATGCATGTTGGAGGCTGGGGACTTGTGTGCTTGAGTGGGAATTTGGTAGAAGCTGGAAGGGCGAAGATTGTCTCTGGCTTTGAAGCTTTGTAGTTTTGATGAAGTGTGGTTATGTTATTGCAATGAAGACGATGCTGATGCTGCTCAAGAAGCTTGATGCCGGAGTCTATCTATGACTTATATAACCGGGCCGGTGACCGACTTTTTACAAGTTCCAAGTGAGGTCATGCTATGTTGTCATGAAAGTCTCAAGGGTCTCAGCTGCCGGGCGACGGCACAGAGACTAAGATTCTAGATACGAGCGTCGATCAGATTGAGAATGTCACGATATTTCCTAAATGAGCATTCATGACACCTCTAACCTCTGAGAACCTCTGCCCTGCCGCCTCTGTCAGAAAGGAACTCGTGACTAAAGATCATCCCACCCTACATAAAATAGACTTAACCTCCAAGACAGGCCCCAGAGTACACGAACCGATGTGACGATGCCACGATGTCAACAGACGAACACAAACTTGCTGCTCGGCGAAATAAATTGGCTGAGGTCACTCCGCCTCTCACTTTGGAACTTTGGGGATGATGGTCAGGAGGTTCAAGACATACATTTTAAGCATGGTTAATACGAGCTTTCCCCCTCCGCAAATGTTGCCTGGCAAGCTGCATGCAACATCGGCTACGGAGCCTATTCAACCAGTCATGTTGTTGGTGGTTCTTGGGGGGGAAACACGGAAAGTTGGGGGAAAACTGGCTGGTGGGCTGATGTGAAGCGTTGTGTGTGTTTCGCTTGGGTTTGGAGGAGCGACCTCGTGAGTGATCTGCCGTGTGGGTTCGTTTACCTTCCCCGCATCCCTCCCCCTCGGCGCGGCTCGCCGGAGACATTATGTTGTTTGCTGTGGAGCTGAGCTGTCGCCGCCGCCGCCGCGCAGCTGCCTTGTACTTGCACAGCTTCACCCCGGCTCATCCGCGACCAGCCGCAGACTAGGCAGATTGAGGTACCGGACGACGAGAGGAGCGGGGGAGGGAGCTAGCTTCGGGCGGGAGGGGCATTTCTGTCTTTGTCTGTCAAAATAGCAATCCCCTCAGCTGCGTCGTTGTGTGTCGAAAGCGGATGAGCTAAAGTCAGACACTCGACATCGATGGTCAGACACGGGTCAGCCCTTGCTTCCGCCTAGCTGTCAACGGGGGGGAAGATCTGTTGAGAAGAAACGCTGCCGCCTGAGCCTCAACGAGACATGGAGATCGTCTGCTATTTTTCAGCCACTTTGCCCACACTTTTGAGTAACGTTGCGATGCGTTGCGATGCGGCATGACAGGAAGTAGTAGTAGTTGTAATAGAGGGCAAATTTGATTTGATTCTTTGGTCGGGTATATCTCATAATCCACCTGTCCGTTGCGCCAAACACCAGCCGAAATAAGGTCTCCCAATAGAATAGGAAAAAAAAAGAAAAAAAGAAAAGAAAATCAAGAGAAAAGTAGTCCATATCCATCTCATCATGTTGGGTATCAATGCCTAAAAGCAGCTTCCAACGCCTTGCAGTCGTCTCGTAATTCCATTTTTCAGAACCGATCAAAGATTGCTCTTTCTGCCCCATATATCCGTCAACGTAGCTTGGTGTAAATAGTGAGGAAAGAAAATAAAGCGAAAAAAAAAGAATAAGAAGAGAAATTATAAGGAAAAGATATATGAGAAAGTTAGCGAGATCCAGAGAGGGGAATCGTGGATTCCTCTTTCTTGCGTTCGCGTTTGGCGTAAATCAGTCCGCAGACATTACATAGCGTACTGGGACCATCGGGACCAGGCCGCCATTCCGGTGTATCGACGCGGTGGCACTTGTGGCACGAGAAATCAATCGTCTTGCGGCGATGCCTGCGTCCTGGGGGACTGCCGCTGTTCCCGGCGTGGCTCCTGGCCGCGGTGAGCTGTTGCTGTTCACTACTACCCTCGGCCCCCGACCTGCGCCTGTGGGCGTTGGGATCTTCCCTTTGAAGGGTTCTGATCTCGTGTATGTCGCGGGCGATGCTGTGGGATAATCTTGACATGGCACGCAAGTCGTCCTCGGTGGGTAAGGCGTGATCGCTGGAGGCATTATAGCCGCCTTCAGGGCTGGCAGCATTGTAGGCGGGGAATCTGCCGGTTAGGCGAAGTAATTGCTGGGCACCATGACGGATCTAAGGAATCAAGATGTCAGAAAGAGGAATTACTGCATTGACATGACGAGGGTGAAGTTGCCCACGAGATGATGAAGTTAGGTTTGTGTTGTTAAGGTAGAGACGACGGGTGGGCCCGATAAGGTCTCTCGATAAGGGACGGATGTGGAAGGGGAAGGAGGGCAGAAGATAAAATAGACTCACGCGCTGATGACTCTCGCCCTGACGAAGATGATTCCAAGAGACCCTATTGGGAGACCCTGGTTCGTCTTGGCCATCACTGCCGGTACTTATAGCAGTCGGGCCATGGGCGCCAGCGGGCGACGACCCTGATTTCGGGGTAGAAGCGGATCTTGGGTTGGAGGGGCCGGAAGGCATCAATCGGAGCGGTGGCCCAAGGGCCGGCCAAGCACGGAGGGAACGCACCCGACAGAGAGGGGCCGTAATGCCCAAAGAAGAGACGAAATAATTGACAAGGCCTGGAATCGAGGCCGAACGAATCGAATAAGGCCGGGGGTCTAGACCCGGAGCGATCGGAGCAGGTCCGCAGACGCAAAGGTCATGGAGCTGGACGGTGCGGTGCGGTGCGACAGGCAGCAGTAGCGGCAGCGGCAGCGTCGGGGACCACGAAGCGAAGGCGGCGGGCTGGTCAGGTCGCAGCGACAGCGACAGCGACAGCGACAGAAGCACAGGCTGGCACTGCTGACTGGCCGTGCAGGGCAAATGGTGCGAGTATTGGTTGTGTGTGGTGGTTTGTCCAGGATGTCGAGGAGGGCCGATAGATCGGTGGTGTTGAGGCTCGATCTTCGGACATGGAGCGAGGAATGGGGATCGAGAGCGATCGAAAGGAGGGTGGTTTTAAGAGGGAAAGTTGGCGTCGGGCCCTTTGTGAGAGGTGGCGAATGTTTTTTGCGGCCTTTTGCGGCTTGCGCATGGGAATTTGCTAACAAGGGGAAAAAGCAGAGGCGGCAAAAGATGCTAAAGTCAGCAGAGAGGGGCCAAGGGGGTGGGCCACCCACGGGAGGGGGGGGACCACTGGCGGGGGATTGGACCCTGAAAAACTGGGAAATTCGGGTTTGGGGACGCCGATGGCCCAGTGAGGCCCACCTCGGTTCGCCGGTGGTGGAGTCACGTTTTTCTGCGGGTGTCGGGGTCCTTCGAGAAGGATTCTTATGTAAGCATTCCAAGCTGAGATAAGCGTCTCTCTGAGCGGGCCATTTCCTCCGGAAGCATACACAATCACCCAAGGTACCTCCAAAGTGCCTCTTTGCCATTGGCGGACCACACTCCGGAAGAACCCTCCGGAAGGCAACAAGACCACCTCACAGGTCTATCATCCATCCGCGATGTTCCATTCCACGACATGACTGGTATTATTTTTTCTACCGATAAGATGCTATTCAAATTACTACATCAGACATGGAACACGATCCTCCGCTACATGACTCCAATACTACAACTCGTCCCTGTTCCACTCAGGCTTCGGGTAACTTGCTGATTGCTTCTCGCAGACCCACGAGTCCTTCTTATTCGCATCGCCACCGACAAACTTGAGAGCCGCTGGATATGCGCACAACGGTCTTATCGGCGCCGCGCTATCGTTCCCTCCGCTTAACTTGAACCCGTCCATCACAGCCGGCGTCTTCCCCTCCTCGACCCAAGCTCGCAGCGTCTCCAGCCCTTTCAGCGGGTAATACGTTCCATTCAGCCCATAGCAGTGGTACACTCCTGGCGCCTCAAAGTGGCGATAATACCCATCAGCCGCAGCGTCCACCGCCAGCACCCGATCGTAATAGTCCCTTGACGTGCGCATCGTTACACACTCGTCGGCCAGCCCGTGCCAGCTAATCATCTTACGCCCAAGTCTCTTGAACTCGGACAAGTCTGGATTGTTGGCCCCGATAATGCTGTCAAACTCCCGCCTGCTAGTCTCATATGCCGCCTCCAGATCGGCAAACGTCATGCCGTTAACGTCGTAGCTTGGGTCCTTGTGCACGAGGTTGCGGATCCATTCCACCGACATCTGGAATGGCCGACCGACGCAGGGCGCGTCCGGTACACTGCAGTTTGTGTTCCCGAGCCCGAAGCGGCCAGTGAAGGGTGCGCCGACTGGATATCCCTTTGGCAGCCAGAGCGGTTTCCCATCCGCGCCGTGCGGGCCCCGCCAGATCTCCCGCGCGACATCAGCCGCTTCCGCCGACATGACCATCTTCATATTCCCACAATCGAGCTCCTTGCCGACCACGCTTGCCGGTTCGAATGCGCACTTATCTGGGTCCGCAATGATGTTGTCCTTTACGCCGTCAAGCTCGTCGCATGCGTCGATCGCGAACTGCGTCATGAGAATCAGCTCGCAGATATGCGGGTACACCCCCTTTTGGTTCATCACGAACTGGGGCCAGTACGTGCTGATGATGAGACTTGGCTGGTTCACGGCCGGTGCACCGGAGAGGATGCCGTCGTAGTCTCCCGGATATCGCTGCGCTTCGATGATGCCCTGCCGGCCACCCGTCGAGCAACCGCTCCAGTACGAGTACTCTGGTGTCCGAGAGTAGTACTGCGTTACAATCGACTTTGCGATGATGGTCATGTCGTGCACCGAGACGTGGGCGTAGTTTACGAGTAATCGCTCATTGACCGTGCCATCTTTCTTCAGCGCCCAAGGGGCCTCTTCCCACGTCGTATGATCGTGCCCGGCGTCCGTTGAGCTTGCTATCGCCCCATTAGTCTGCGCTCACGCGTCTGAAATTCCAGCAAGAGCAACCGCGAGCGGAGAAGAGTCAGTGACGGAAAACGTACTCGCATATCCCTGCGCCAGCGTCGCAACGACCTTTTCGCTCCCAAACTGCCCGGCCGAGTACCCTCCTCCTCCGACGCCCACGAACCGTCCGTTCCACGCCTCGGTAGATGGAAGCCATATCTGCACCTGCGTCACGTCGTAGAAGTCCGTGTGGACGTACTTGACCGTCACGTTGCAGAAGCTGACACCCGTCGACGGGATGGCTGCGCGACCCTCTGGTGTCAATGGGCTGAACGTCAGGTCTCTGACCTCGGCCGCCGTCACGCCCACGAGGTCTGCGCCCTCGAGCTCCGTGGGGAATACAAAGGTATCGGGGGAGCATGGCTTCGCGGCCGTGTTGCTTGATGGCGTTGCGTCGCTTTGGGCTGGTGTTACCCAATCTGCCAGGCGCAGCAGCGATAGGAAGGTTGAAAGGCTCCTCATGATCGCTTGTCAACTAAGGAGCTCCTCATTACACAATTGGCATCGAAATCAATCAAGCCGACTTGAAAGAGGCTGCCAATTGATTATCTAGGTCGGGTGTGGCGGTGGTTGGGAACTGAGGCGTTCCCGCAAGCTCGGTGCTCAGACCTCGAGCATGACACACAACGAACACGTCGGGTTGATGCGTCACCGTTCTCCAACAGCTCAGACGGAATTTCGGACAGAACGAAGGCCCCGTCGCATGAAAGAAAAGAATCACACAAGTGGGTTCGTGGTATGGTATTAAAGACTGTCGAGAAAAAGCGGCATCGCCACTCTTCAGCTAAGGCGCGCCTGTCGTGGGATTACATGCCATGGCAGATGTGTGGGATGAGTTGGCAATGCGGCCAGGCGCATAGGCGGCAACAGGATTCCCGTCCCGCAGCTTCAATTACCCCACAAACGGGCGATCGAACCTAACCTTACTAGTCGTCACATGCGAACCGCCGCGTTGGCGCGTAGATCCAAGACAGTAGTAGCCCTGCAGAGTGAGCCGGCGGGCTGCACAACCACGTCAGCCTTACTGACTTGGCAAGTGTCATTTAGATTATCGTTAGCCTTGCGCTCTTTCGCCCTCTCTTATTCTCGAAATCACACACATAATTTGAGTGCAGCCAATGTAGTTTAAGCCGAACATTACTCTACCTTCCTATCCAAGGTAGGCAAGGTGAGATGGAAACCCGGAAGCTTCCTCGGGTCCGGAAGCTTACCTGCCAAGTCTGCACGGCTCTGTATCTGGATCGGGCTCACACTGCAACAAATGCGATGGCTGGTCAAGCTTCAGGCGAAGCAAGAGACGAATCTTGTCCTGTTCGCGCATGAAGTCTTTGCACTATTGTGAGGAGGCGATCCCATCGGAAGCTTTCCTATCTGTTCGCCACATTCTGCCACGAAGTGTGGCGGACTAATAAACTCTACCCCTTTTGCGTTCACATAGTTTGTCAAAAGATATCCAACTTCTTGTTGGCAATATTGTCTCTCTTTAATTAACCTCGTGGGGCATCACATGAGCTTCGGTGGAATGGAGAAAAGACTCTCGGTAAGGGATTCAACTTCAAACGTGGTTCGACACGTATCAGGCTTGAACTCGCTCCATTAGCTGCGGTGCTGTATTCATATGCAACGCAACCAGTCAACTGTGAGGCTAAAGTTGAGTTGATTGCGGGCGGTATCCTGAAAGTTGATTATATCGTTTGTTGAGTTGGTTGTCGAAGTCACTTTGAGTGCAGTATTGACTACCTGAGTCCTGTCACTTGAGATTCACTCTCAGATACATGCAGATTGTCTACTTTAGACAAGGAATTGTATTCAGTCTGTACCTAGAATAGCATTGTTTCGTTCTTTCACATCCTTTCACGCTTTAGCTTCGCTAAATGGAATCCACGTTGTGCTGTCAATGAAGACAACTTCTTTAACTTGCCTCAAACAGGAACACATAGCTAAGAGGAGTGCAATAGCATTATCTTCCACTACTTAAAGATCTCAAAGAGGTCTTTGTGGGCATTATCAGAGGTTGACAAAGCCCAGACCTATACTTAGTAATGTTGTCATGCAGACTTGTGAAGAATTGGTTGATGCTCTGCTTTGACAACAGCTCAATAACATTGTGTAACTACAAATCTTCCTCTTCATTGTTATATGCAGAACGAGCAGCCTCATAATGTTGCAGTTGGATATGAAGACACAAGATGAACCTCTTCTCCTGTCTCAGATATCATCAACCCACAGACAGACAGACCAACAAAACCAATTTACCACCTCAAATCGATCCAGCTTCGCTCACAGAACAATCTATCCCCTTCACTCTAAAGACACCTCACTCTATTACCTCAAAAACAACCAGACAAGATGCCCGCCGAAAGGAAGAGATCCATCATCGGAAAGGTCCTTAGCGGCGTGAAGATCAAGATGGAAAGAGCCATCAACGGCAAATACCAGCGCCACTTTTGCGAATCTAACAAGGTCGAGCCCTCGCACTGCCGCCGCCTGGTCATGATCGAGTGCACCTTTGACTTCCGCGTCAAAGCGGACGAGTTCAACAACATCATCACGAACTGGTTCGACCCGCACCACGGCACGCTGCCCACGAAGCTCTACAGGAAGATGGCCAGCATCGGCGTCAGGAAGGAGCACGCTGACGGCGTGCGCACCTCATTCCGCGTCTTTCTGCTGTTTGGCGAGGATATCCCGATCGACATGGTCATGAAGCGGGGTGATCCGGATATCTTGCCCGATGTTTTGAAGATGCTGTTTCCGCTGAATAGGGCTTCTAGTGTGAAGAGGGAGATTATCACGTGTGATTGTTCTCGGGATGTTTTTGATTCTCATGTTACGCTGCATGAGACTCGGTGTTTTAATGGAGTCTGGTTTGACAAGGATGGTGAATCGGTGAAGGCACAGGTGATTGGAACAACAGAGCCGGTGGATTGGAAGACTTTCCGGGAGAACTTGGACTGGCGGCCGAAGTATGGACATGGGACTTATTAGACTGTTTTCTTTTGTTGGTTTTTCCAGCGGTTATATAAAGATTAGGCGTTCTGCTTTTGGGGGATAAAAAGATGAATGGCATCACACCGTATTGCGAACTGTTCATTGCAAGACTCTAGAATGTTTTGGCTAGATCGGATGACGATGAATTCTTACGGGCTGCTTATTCCGTCATGTGCGTGTTATCGTCTGTATATGAGGACGTTCTCAAGTGAGGGATAATAGCGTACCGTATCATACTCTGACCTTATCTCTAATATTTTTGCATGCATGTGGTGGTTTTTTCTCCGGCTTGACAGGCGCAAAACCTTTTGCATGCATGTATAGGATATTTTCCAAAGACATCGAGTTGAAGAAAACCTGGAGGGATCTATCTTGGCGTCAAGACGGACTCGATTCGATAGGATAGACCGTCGTCGAGTACGCAAGCCATGACTGGCATAATTCGGACCGCGGTTGCATAGGGGAACAAGCTGCTACCCGCCCGGTGATCTACTTCGGCGGGAACCGCTTTGTGCACACATGCTAGTCCCTGCATCTGCTTGAGGGCGCGAATGAAGGAACACAGCGGGAATAGCAAACGCTCATAGGATCTTCCATCATCCCATGTATGTACGGCTGATCTAACCCACCGACAGTCCGTTATAAGACTGGGCCAGAATGCTTGTGACGAACTCAGTGGTTTCGCAGAACATGACGCGGTACTCATTATGATTCCGACTTGACCCCGTTTTGTTGAGTCTCAATTGAAAGCTGATGCAATCATCGAAATCCTGACAGGACATTCGCACTGCTGATTTGGCTACCCACAATGACAAGTGGCTGTACAGACACCAATTTTTCCCCGTTCTGATGGATCATACTGTAAAATCCATACATGCGGGTAGCTCCTTTCTATGTCTGATGGAAAACGACCGAGGGAGAGGATTCGATTGGGCGTACAGCTGGTCATCCAATTCATGAGGTGATGTTGACATTGGTTCGTGTTTCTACTCCGTGCGCGCCTGATTCCGCCGAGTGTGTGGAGACTTCAAGCTGTTTGTTGGTTCCAAAGTCTAAATAGCGTCAGGACTTGGCTCTCACTTCGAAACGCTAGGCGGTACCAGAGACGATGGGATGAAACCCCTAAAAGAGGTCTAGCCCCAACGAGAAACCAACATTGGTCGCGGCACATTGCCGCTTGGAGAAATGTCGTGATCTTCCATGTTCTCAGAAACAGGTTCTCTGGCGATGATTTGGTATCATTCTACCGACCCCCCGATGGCTGAGGGGTCTTGGAAGAATGTGGCTTAGGGCTGCAACGCAAGCCGAAGGCTCGCAAATGCCGTCTTGCTGGGTGCTGGATGAAGGTACTGGAATAGACAATCAATAGCACTAAACAATTCTGTACTTTATTCGTCTCAGTCGGTTTAACATGTATCGTCACTAAATATGGTATCACTCCTCAAAATCAGTCTGATAACTGCAGCCGCCCAGCCTTGGTATCCCAACTCCCGCAATGTAACCTCTGATGCGCTCCAAACCATTATGCTCAAAGTAGCCGACGCCATCTTGCCAAGTCTGCCTGAATCTTACCACGTACAAGTACACCCAAAATGTCGTTTTAGCCATCGTCATATCAAATTTCGCTCATTAAAAACCTGGCCTGACTGATACCAGATACGTCTGCAATGTAACGGAGGCGGCCCCTCAGATATCGTCTCTGTCTTGGCGTGGCGTAGTCGCTCTTCAAGGCCATGGCAAGCGGCCACATGACAATGAGACCGGCCTCGCCCTTGAGCGGATCATCTGGCTTTGTCGTGCCGCAGGGGAACTGAGAAACAATGACGCCGTACCCGTTCCAACTGCAAAAATACGGAACCGCTGACACGATATTGGCAACCCGTGTGCTCGCGGACTGAACCAGGTCGCCGTACTCGTCGTAGTCGCTCAAGCCTTCTCTACCAGCCGATGCTAACCACGAGCTGGCGCGGATCATCGTCGTAATGAGGTTGAGGTGAGAACACCATGTGACCAAATGCAACACAGCCATTGGTAAGTTGAAAAACTTGTACACTTGACCGTCAAACGTGGGCTCGGTATCGAGCTCTTCGTCGGTTCGGTCAAAGACCCATTCGGCGACCTCGACTTTCCACTGCGGATTCGGGTTCTCGCTGAGCTTTCTGAACTCGTCTTCGAGTTTCCGGCATTTTTCGAGTAGGTCGAGCATCTTGTCCACAGTCTCGTCGGTAGGGTCTCTCGCCAGGGCAATGATGCGGTCCACACCCTGCTGGAGTTGGTTGCAGAGGAGATTGATGTCGACGGTGGCGCGATTTGAACGCTGAACCGCCTCATTGTACAGTAGCCATGAGTAGCCAGACATTTCCGACTCTTTAAACAGATTCTGGACGGAAATGCATTGGTTGCGTGTCATGGCGAACATTTCCCGACCCTCATCCGTCTCTAGGCACTTCTGGCCACGTACTTGGACAATCTTGGCAGCGCCTTTGAGATGGCTGATGTATTCCTTCATTGAGTCCTTTGACATTAATGTCTGTGATATGTTAGCAGAGGGTAGAGCCAAAACACTGATGATGGCTAACCTCGTAGAAAGCCAGCATCAGAACGGCCCCTAGGGTTTGATCGCTGTCGATCTCCTTGGGATCGGCAATCGCTTGGCCAACTGCTCGTAAAGCGGCCACATGGTGCTCTTGTGCACGGAGGAGGGCAGGGCCTCTTGCTCCTTTTGACTGTCGCATCGCCAGGGCGGCCATAGATGTTGCCTTGAAGGCAGCTGAAAGGCAGACTGATATCTGGCCACGACCGAGAAAACGCGGCAAAAAGGCGTAGTAGCCCCGAGCTGTTGGCGTCAAAGGTACGTTGACGAACTCGGAGAGGAAGAGACACGAGGCTTGCTCGTCGAGCGGATTTGTCAGTCCTCCTGGAACGTTTTTGAAGCATTCGATGAGGTCACCCTCTTCATGTCCGATTTTGAATGGGGATGAGTTTCTTCTTGGCGGGCTTAATGACGATGTTTTATCGCAACAGTATCCGGGCGACCCGATCTTGATTTTTGTCGATGAGTCGGCGGAAGACATGTTGCTATCGGTGCTATTTGTTCTCATCTTCTTGAGTTTGTCGGCGGACTTTGACGAATCGCGAACGACGGGGCCGTAGCCTGGGCAGTGTCTCTTCGACTTCGTGCATCTCATGCAGAAGGGCTTCGCCTCATCGCACTTGACCTTCCTTATCCTACACAACTTGCATCCGCCCGAGGGCTTCCCCGTGTAAACCATGTTGATGAGATGTCGTGTATTCCGGTAGTAATGATGAATGAAAAAGAAACCCGAGAACGATCCAATATTAAAAAGGAAGGCGGGAGATGGGCTGAAGAAGGGGAAAGGAATCGGGGGGCAGACCCTGCGGCTGACTCGAGCAAGCTTTCGAGCTTGTCGCCTCCAGGGTTTTAAACCAGAGAGCCGGGAGATCAGTATCCTTGGCCCCCCCTCCGACACGGACCAAGATCAGAATGGAGTGTTCCTCAGGTCATGTGATGAGATTGAGCTGCTTGTGGTCATGGTTTCCGCTCGAATTGCTATCACAAACCCAGACGAGGCCCCTTTGGTGACGGGTCGCGTCCTTCCCGCCCGCTCCAGCACGAGTGTCCGAGGACGGCATGCGCATGATATGGTGTCGGTGCGCTCGGCTAGTCTGCAAGCCAAGATCACAGATCCCATCGTGTTTTGCATCTAGGCTATTTACAGCTTGACATATCCGCGGAACATTCGTTTAGATCTGATGCCCCAAGGTTCGGAATCAAGCCCCTCGCTTATGGTTCACTCGACTGGGCGTGCAGGTGTGAAGGGCACCCAGGTACAGGAAGATTCCAAAAGATGGTGCAGCTTAGGGCTTCGGATCATCACCAATTGCTGCAGGTAATGATGAAGCCGTGCACGCTGTCAACGTGTGACAGGAACCAAATGCGGCATCGTAACGCATGTGCTCTTTGACCTTCCCACGGTCTCGGTCTCGCACGGAGAAAGGGGACGTTTCAGAGACACTGAGGGTGAACCTCCTCAGCTTTCTTTTTCGGGGTTAACATATCGGCCGAGCGCCCCTGGAGTTGTTTCGTTTCACCAGGTCTCTGACGGATCCGAAAACCACTACGCTTCACACGATCCGAGCTCCAAGGCGATCTGCTCCAGCTCTTTGCTTCCTCCAGCTTCCTCGAAGAGACGAACGTTGAGTCACACGGGGCAGCTACAACACTTGAAAGCTGCAGAATAAGGATGACGTTGGCCGGGTTTGACTCGTTTAGAACAAGGTCTTTCCTATCTAGGCAGTGGAAGGGAGAAGCTTGTTTTAATCTGGCCCGGATGTGCTCCACAGCCCGGCCGATCATGCCGTCCGATCAGGACTTGAAGAAACACTGGGAGAGAAAGCTTCGATATCAAAGGAGCTTAGTCCAGTGATGACCACGTATGAATTGCAAACGCGATCAGACTTAGCCTGTGCAATATGCACAAGGAACCCCCACATTCCGGGTTCGAAAAAGGTCGAAGACCTGCTGTTGCAATATGGAGTTGTTGAATGGCGGGCGGTGGTACACAATTCAAGAACACCGATGTGGCAAAGATAGTGGTGTAACTTTATGGTAAGGAAGCAGCAGTCAACCCAGTGTCCTGTTGTGGTGTTCTGGGATTGCATGCAGTTTTTCTCAATACTAAATCGGTACGTTTCTATCATAAAGTAGACTCGCTCCGGGAATCGATTTGTAAACGAGTGTTTGGCATTTTGACACTATCAAAAAGAGGGCCAGAACTGTGAACTATTCAACAGCAAGCAGACGATCAATTCCGGCTCTCCAGTGTTGTTTTGTAACGATCGTAAGTACTGAGTCGCAGAATGCCCAGTAAGTAGCCAAGACAGTAAAAGGTAAGGGCTTGTTGTCGATTTCCTTCCGTAAGATCGCAGGTCGCAATAATCGTACTCGGTCGCTCTGTTTCGATTCGCTACCAAAACCAATGATTCAATACTGAGGATTAAGAGAGTTGTTTAACGAGGGCTGGAAAGAGTCTCTGGGATCTGTCCTGGGTTTTTGACTCCATCGCGTAAAACCTAACACATTGTCAGTCAACAGCACATCATACCTCTGTAGGCTTATGTTTGAAGAGTTGACATCTATACGTACGCAGCTCTTGGACGAAACGAATAGGGTTCATTCAAATTCTGAGACTTTAAAACAGAGAATTATCACCGGGCTCAGTTGATTTTCTTGCTTGGGCCGGATGGTGGGACTCTCCCCTTTGGACGTGCAACCCACTCCGGCATACTCGAGCCTTCCGACGAAGACTCCATGAAGTTCTTCACCTTGCCAATGGTGAGTCTATGGAATCGAACACTTTGACCCAGCAATCGCAGTTACTTACTTCGAAGTCATCAAGAAGTCCGTCATTCTCAGTGACCATGGCACGAGGCACCGCCTGCACCACAACACCCGCGAGCAAGAAGAAAGCAATCTCGACCCGCATTGAAAGAGCTGTAATCAGGAACAGGTTGGTGTTTCCAGAACTTAGTTATCTTTCAGAGATAAACACTAGGACGCCACTCATTCTATCCTCCCACTGGGGCGGTCACGGTAATGCCCTAATATATGGATTATCGAGCGGTATTGCGATACGGTTGATCAAATGCCGCTCGGCAAACATTTGGTATTGAATATTGGGAATCCCAAGAGTTCGTTTTCTGCCGGTCACATCAAATGTTTGAATTACTTGGGACTGATAAGCTCAAGATCCCCGTGCAGAGAATTGTGCATGGTGTAAGAAATCCTCTGGCTGGTCCAATCATGAAGTGGTCATCCGCGGAGTAAGTCGGATCCTGCCGTGAAACCAAAGTTTACAGGCTAGGAATGCTCAACATGCTCCTCCTGAGATCTTGTATCGTTGACGGCGTCAGGCTTCAGCAAGAATGGTCATCCTAGATTTGAGTTATAAGGATAGGTGATATAAAATTGAGGAGGACCTTGATAATGTCTGTCGGTCTCTTGAATGAGACAGCGTCCGGCGAGGATGACTGATCACAAGCTTGATATCATGGGCCACTCATCAAATGTTACCAGCCGCGTAAGACGAATTTTCAAATTGTGTGTGCAGCTATACACCATCAGTCGCATTTGAATATGTCACATCATCCGCAAATGAAGACATGTGCATCAACCGGCATATCGTCGTTCAATGATTGAAGCATGCTCATATGCACACGAGGAAGCATGTCGGATAACGTGAGTGGTGAATGAGATCTAAGTTGCAACTTGCAGTATTTGCTGCCCAACGTTCCAGATACACCAAACGCCAGATTGATGAAGGATTTTCGGTTCGTTAGCCGCGTGAAACTTTGCATTGGAAAGTTGCGGTCCTCCGGAGGGGTTGTTGCTGGTCATTTTCGGTGGCAAGGTTTGAGACCCGGGAAGACCCCCACAGCGTATCCGCGTTATGTGGTCAACTCAAGGTTCCATTGTGTCTGATCATGTTTAGGCCCCACCCAGTAGATCGGGCATTTCAAAGCTTTCATTGGAGAGAATTTCCCGAATTATCCCAGCTATCCTCTACGAAGACTGCGCGGGTCTTGGGCGGGTGTGATATCGGGCGGAGGAGTGGGGTTGTTCCAACTTTATGAGATGGATGGTGCAGGGATTCAGTGACTGACCAGAAGCTCTGGGATTTCCCTTCTCCCGTCGGCTAAAATTCACTGACTATTTCTTTGGCTGTAATTCTGCTGTCTTATGGTGGTCTGTGAACAGCATACCCTTCATGGCTTGCCCTAGGTCGTACTCAAGCAAGCTTCCTAATATTATACTTCCACCTTTTTGAGGCTGGAAAAGGCAAGATCTTCATACAAGTGGAATCAAGTGAGGCAAAGCGCTTTGGGCAAGGGTCTCAGCCAAGTCTAGATCAAGTTAAAAGGTGTGATTGTTCGAATGTGGCAATTCCCTGCTGCCTTGTGCAGTGTTGGTGTCGGCACGGGCACAAAGCCATCAAGAGGACAGCCGACTAATACCAAGACAGCATCTTCAAGCGACCCTTTTACGAGTCTAAACATCTTTCGTATGTTCAGTCAGCCCTATACTTTAATCGACCGCATAATCTGCCCATGGATAGTTCAGGGACAATGAACGATTTTGTTGGCTCGTGCCACGACAGCTTCAAAACGAGAAGAATTTCATCTCATCGACATCAGACCAAAGCTCTTACAGAACCTACACGTCATTCTCATCATTGCTACTGGGGCTAAACTCAGGACTTGCTTCAGTGCTACTGTCGTGCTAGAAACCAGACCCCAGTATAGTAATCGTCCCCTTCACTGTTCAAAGGACTGGGGGACACCTCACGGATCCCAAATCTCAATTCTAATATCAAAGATGGTCGGATCCGCTCGAGACATGAGTTTTCACTAGGTGCCCGATATGTAGTGATCTCAATATGCCAGGATACAATTTTTCTAGAAGGGTGTTTCTTTTCGGGGCCCTTGTATCTACCATCGTCATCCTTTGGCCGCATATGTATTGGGTGTTACTCTTTCAACCGAAGGAGAAGACATATTCAATTCGAATCTTGAGCTATGACCCACTGATTATATATGTTGTTGGGTTTCTGTCATGGGTAGAAAGAGCCTATTTATTGCGTCTTGGGCAAGTACATATCACCATCAAGTCTCCCTGACTAACAAGCTTCTTACAGGAAGCCGTTATTTGAGAGATCGACAGTATACAACAATGGCGTTCAAGAGGTAGATATGGATCGAACAAGCAGCACCGCATATCTTCCTGACGGAGATCGTATTGTCCAGCGAATCATCAGACGAGCCTCCGAGATTCAGGGCTACACGAAGGAGAGCCTTCATGAATCGCTACAACTGACGCGATATGGCCCCGGCCAGCTCTTCCGTCCCCACGTAGACCCTCTTGAGGACAGTGCCAACAAGACCTTGACCCACCGACTCACAACGATTTTCGCAATCGTCGAAGCCACATGCGATAGGTGTGGGACCCAGTTTCCAAATATCCGCATCAATTGGACATTGGAAGATCCAGGCTGGTGCAAATATGTAGAATGTGGCGACGTCGTGGCCCTCACAGTCAAGGCTGTCCCCGGTAATGCAGTATTTTGGAAGAGCTGGACGAACTCAGGGAGACTCGACCCTAGAACACTCCACGCTGGATTACCTCCTGAAAGAGGGATCAAGACTGGTCTTAACATATGGACTCATGGCTAGATCAAGGTACTTGGTTTATGTCACACCACTTTCGTCATTGGTGTATCGATGGGGCACTCGAAAATTCTGCGCTGTACACGACACGCATCAAGTGAAGACTGACACGTTTACAAGGGTGATTGTATGTACAGGATTACATGAGGTAATTACAAAGCACTCCGTATCCTCTCGAGCTCCAACCATCAACTTAAGTGCATTGCGAGTAGTACTGGTTCAAGACTGTGCAGGTCGAGCCAGAAGCACAAACAGTTCCGCCAGTCCATCCTTGTCCACCACACTGACCGTACTTAGGAACGGTTCCACTACCGCCACTCGCGGCTGTGGTCGTCGTCGTTCCAGCTCCGGTGGTTGTCACACCCGCCGCAGTGGTAGTCGTTCTTAAGGTAGTCGGACTGCTGCCACCACTTCCTCCGGCCGGGGTTGCGCTCGACGTCGCGGTGATGCGAGCGGTGCTCTGGGCAACGGTCGAGGCAAGTCCCGAGACCAGGGTGGGGCCGGGAACGGGGTAGACGAGAGGGCTCGTGTAGAGGTTGAAAAGAATGCCCGGGTCGTCAGACTTGTACAGTGCCGTGCCCTTGACGCCGGCCGGGGCAAGGGAACCTCCTCCAGTGACCTGGAGGTTAAAGCACTGCGGGTACGCCTGCGCGCCGTTGACATTGCCGCCAGAGTGGAGAGCAATGATCTCGTGACGCAGCACGTAGTTGCCCGGGGCCAGAGTCGAGGGGATCTGGACGGTCCATGTGAAGTTGTTGGCCATGAGTACATCATCGGCCCACTTGCCGTTGGTAAGGGACATGTCAATCAGACCACCAGCATCAATCTTGAAGAAGTTGAGGGTGGTCTTGTCGACGGACTCGCAGTCACCGGTACACTTGGCGAGATAGTCAATCACCGGGCCCTTGTGTGACTCTGGCCATGTGTTCCAGATGAGCTGGATGTTGGTGCCCGCGGCGACAGTGGCGTGTCCACCGGCCGGGCTTCCGTTCTTGTGGCAGATAATGTCGCCAGTGCCGAAGTTGACTGGTTCAACGAAGCCATTATCAGGGGCGTCGATCTTCCAGCCCACGACAGGACTTGTTGGGGGCGAGTACGTGAACGCAGGAGAATCCCAGCCGCGGTAAGCGACGCCATTGGCAACAAGCCAGTCGACGTGGCCGTGGGCCGCGACGGTGGCCGCCAAGGCGAGTAGAATGGAGGAAGGAAGAAGATTGCCCATGGTTTCGACGGCTCTATAATTTGCCTGCGTTTCCGAGAATCTGGTTGATGAGCGCTGCCTAGTTCAGGCAGAATGCATTCTAGACAGGCGAGGAGCGTGGCATATATAGTGCTGCATTGGTAGTACCAGACGGCGTGTCGACACCGTCGGAATCACGGCATTTGATATTAATTAATTGGCACGCGAGCCAAGGTCTTTAGTCTTCGGTGAAGGCCAGAATCAGGCATCGTGCCATCGCGAGGTAGTCACACTGACACGTTGGCGTAGTATACCAGGCACAACTCCCAAGTCAAGAACAAGACAAACCACCCTGGAGAAGTTATGTCTTCTCCATGTCTCGTTGGTCTCCCGCATTCCTCCTTGCTTGACAATACGGTGGGTACCTGTCACGAGCACATTGAGAGGGGACGCCATGATGGAGTGCATTCATCCGTAATGCCTGAATTGGACGTTTGGTATAGTGCTACCTACCACAGTAAGACTTGATTGGGAGCTCACAAAGTAGTTGAGTGGACATTCCGGAGGGAGGCTATGTGTGGCCCTGAAACGTCGGTAGCGAAGAGGCGCCATCGGAAAAGAAAACTGCAGAATTAGGAAATCTCGGTCGGCTGCCACCGAGAAAATGTGACGACGCGCAGAAGGCCGGGGTTGCATTGGAGCACCGGAGTTGATGCTCTATGATGATTGGTGCTTAAGGGAGGGAGGACCAACTTCATTTGGAGAAAATTTGGTCGGGATGTCAATCCTGCACTCCCTCCCGTAAGTCTCACCCTTCTCATTGTAAGGTAGTAGAACCTCGAGGAAGAACTTCGGGGGCGGCTTACGTGCGTGTGGACTCTTGAGATATAAGAAACGCTGTCCATCCGGTGACGCTTCAAAATGATAAAACTCGAGATTGATGTTTTAAATCATAGCTTTCACGGAAAGAGAGATACAGTTGATGCTGTGAAGGTATCATCGTGTCTATAGTGCTTTTGTTGCATTTCTTGTCATACTTCGATTTCGATGGCCCTTGTTCTTTCGATCAACAGACACTAAGGTTTACAGCATTTGCTAGCAGTGTCAAGCTTCCTCAATCAGGAGCCTACGGAACTTGGAGGTTCTGGAATAATATCAGTATGACTGCATCACTCAGTCATTCTATGGCATTACTGCCAAGCAAGGTGGATTGGAAATCATCGGCGGTGTGAGTTGGACCTAGAAAGAGCTGGGGCACCCATCAAGGTTGGGTTTAGTAGTGCTAGCAAAAGGGAACATCAAACGACACTAATATACAGCACATGAACATTCAACACAAAGATCTAGACGGACTGCCCGCTCGAAATTGAGGCATTCAGTCACTACCTAGGCTACAGGATGTGATTATCTCTGTAAAAATGTGTTGAAGCTTTGCCTTTGACTCATGGCCAAGCTGGGCCTCTTGAGTCTTCGTCTATGTAAGTTTATGAGTGCCAGAAGCGAGCCGAACTCCGTGCAAAGTCTCGAAGCTTGAACGTGTCGTCTGCTGGAATAGTTGGTCTCATAACGAGCATCGCCTCCCTGAATCATACTTCAAAGTTTCTCAGCAAGTCCTCATTTTCAAAACCAGAAGCCAGTACAAATTCTGAGCACCCGTGGTGAGAATCACTGTTTCATTTTCACAAACACTTCCTGATATCAGGCGTTGACCCTAACGGGCCTGGAACTTCAACGAGACCCGTTCGTTTGGTCTGCCAGATCTGATATTGAGGATACTGGTGGGTTTCCTTGCCATCAACGAGACGACCAAATAGTCTAAAAGTTCCATGATCGATTAAGCGATATGGACTGAGAGTTTCGTGTTGTCGTGCTTTCACTGATCAATTACATATCTCAACGAGTGTGTCAATGCAATTCTCATTGCACAAGAGGATTTCGATTTTTCTTGTAATTAGACACTGGATCGCATGCCAAGGTCTGAAGCAGATCAAATTGGACGACGCCAACTATACCAGAAGCGGTACGGTGTGAACTAAGGTTACCTAGGGATTCTAGTCTCGAGGCGTTGAACTGACTTGAGCTTCAGGACTCAGAGTGAACGCATGACAGATAATACTTGGTCGAAGTGGAAATCGACCACGGAAAAACTGAAGAAACGACCTCAATGAAAGCACGGGCCGTATCTACACGTTTTAGAAAGTCGTGCAATCACCTTTGGGACAAGATATGACAAGGAACACGGCGCCCTAAAGTGTCCAAGATCTCAAGATATCTGCGATTTGAAGTTCGCCTTCTCATGCTGAGTTACGGAGTATACAACGGAGCTTAATCAAATCATGTCGACTTCATCGCGCTTACCATCATTTTCATGTTCTCCACTGGTTGAGGACCCAGAGTTGTGCTTCCAGCCTCATGCGCACTCTCATATGAATGTCGTGAGTTGAGCATGAGATTTATGAACGAGTGAGGCGGTCACAAAGCACCGCACATTTACCTCCTGAAGCGCTCCTCAACGACGATCGGGATGACTCATGACGTGCACTAAGATACGGAGGACGGACAGAGGCAGAAAAATCCCCATTAAACTCATTTCTAGATCATTTCTAGAAGCATCGTGACTAATTGGCAAATCCCATTTTGATTGAAGATCCGGGAGAGTGCACCGAAATAGGCCTTGAAACTAACGACGTGTCTTCAGGTTGCAGTGCTAGACCCCTGTCAGGGGGCGGTTTGTCACCGTGAGACAAATTAGGGTGGCATGAGCGGCCCCTGCATCAATGCGATCTCCGGGCCAATTTTGTTTACTTCACGTGATCTCCAGTGGGGGAATTTCCTCCCCCCTTTGGCCTTGGGAATTTCGTCGAGTCCGAAAGAATTGAACACGACAACCTTGACTTAATCCTCCCAAAAGGAAGGGGTCAAGCAGTGCGGAAACACACCATGTCGACGACCAAGCATGAACGGAACAACGACGAGTGGAAGGGCCCGCGACGGCTTCCCTCCGTCAAGGAGAAGCTGTCGAGCTTCGTGCGCCGCGGCCGGGAAAAAGCAAAGAAGACAACACTGTCTGTCTTGGGCGAGTCACGACAGGAGCGACCATCCCTGGACGAGAGCATGAAAGCTCTTCCGCGGGTCCAGGTGTCAGATTTCGGGACCTCGAGTCTTGAGATCGACCTGCAGTCTCTCGAGGCGTTCCGCATTGCGCCGTCGCAGCCCGCGAGGGGAGCAGAGCAAGCGAAGCAGGTCAAGAAGACTTCTTCGCGGACCTCGACAATGACGCCAATCGCCGACATGTTTGCCAGAAAGGCGACGACAGCCGCACTCTCCACGGTCGACATGAGGACCCTCAACAAATCCTCGCCATCATTGCTCACCTCTGTCGCCAGCAGCAAGCCTGCTGAAGCACGCCGCCCTGGTCAAGCTCCCTCCATGTCTTCGAGGTCCACTGTTGTTGCTACTGCTGCTGTACCAAGCACTACATCGAGCGTGATCATCATCAACAACAACAGCTCGACCGGCCAGCCACAATCACACGCCTCGAAACCCTGGCCACCACCAGAGACTCCCCGCACAGCTGCAGCACCCATCCGCACTCAGTTTTCCACGGCATCGACTTCGACATCGAACCAAGTCAACAAACTGCCGCTTCACGAACCGCCACGACGCGCCGCCTTCGTACCGGCCTACGTCCCGTCACGGGCCGCCGCAATCGTCACGCCAGTTGGGCCTGTCATTAGGCCCCACCACCAAAATGCCGACACCGTTGCCAGACAGCAACGGCTGCAGCATAACACGGAAAAGCGCCACTCGAACCCCTCAGGAATGCCCTCGTCGTCAACGACGACCACGACCGCCCCGGCGCCGAACAAGCTTCTCCTCGCAGAAATCGCCAACACAGACCGTAGACGGTCTTGGCAACCGGCGCCGACATCGGTCCCATCAGCTGCAGGAACGCCCACATCGTCCGGTCCACCATCCGCATCCGCCCCGTGGCGAGGTCGCGATCTTGATGGCAGCAGCAGCAGCAGCAAGAGAGCATCATCCCGCATCGCCTCGGACCGCCTCGCCTGGATCCGCGAGCTCGAGGAGGGTAAGAAGAAGAAGTCGACAATCAATGGCGATCTTCCCGTTCTCAGGAACATGCAGGGCAGCGTGGCAGACAAGCTGGCCAAGTTTGAGCAGCAGAAGCAGCTGCAACAAATGCAGCAGCAGATCCCCCTCACCCGGTCCAACTCAAATAGGAGCCGCATCTCGTCCGTCGCCGACACCACCTTCTCTTCGTATAACGGCCCGGCAACCGCCCGATCGTCTCTCGATACCTGCCGCACCTCCTCCGTTTTCTCACACTATGATGACTCGTTCCGCGAGAAGATGGAGATTATCACGGGAGCTGCCAACAAGACGGCCGACGAGGAGAATGAGGAGAAGCCTGCCCTGAACAAGGTCACGGCTACTTTTGTGCCAATCGAAAAGAAGGAGCCCATTGTGGCACCTGTCACCCAGGCTGTGGAAGACGAAAGCGCCGCAAACACCGCCCCCGAGGATGTTGCGCCTGTCTCACCAGCAGTGGAGAAGATTGAGCCCGCCACGACCGATGCACCCATCCCGGCAGATGTTCCTCTTCCGGAAAATGTTGAAGAGAAGGCCGCCCCAGTCGAGGTCCCGACCATTTCTGTGTCATCAGAGACCGAGAAGATGGAGCCCACCACGAGCGAGGCTCCTCTCGCGGCGGATGTTCCTCTTCCGGAGGATGCTGAGGTCGAGGAGAAGCCCGCCCCCGAGGAAGTCCCGTCTGTCTCTGTGTCAGTGGAGAAGGCGGAACCCACCGTGATTGACGCTGATCGTGCGGCGGATGAACCAGCCGAGGAGAAGCCCACTGTGGCCGACGTCTCCACTGCCATTGTGGCAGCCAGCGAGATGACCAAGCCTACCTGCGCCGATGAGCCTCAATCCATTTGATTTTGGTCGCTTAGTTTATTCGGACGACAGAGTGTGTCCGCATGTTTGTTTTCTTGTTTTATTTTGCATCCGAAGAGATGTAGGCGCGCAGCGCACAGTTTGATACCAGTAGAGCTTTCTATACTCTTTTTTGCATGATATTCCCCCCCACACCCCAAAGACAATCCGCTGAGACTAGATTCTCCAGCGCTGGGTTTTGTTAGGAGCGTTTCTATTCACCAGGCTTGGGAGTTTGCATCGTTTCTTGTGTACTAGCTGTAAGATGATAATGATAAGATGTCTATAACGATGGAAATTCAAATTGCTCTGTACTTCGGCAATATGACCGAATGAAGTTACTTGAAGTTACGATGTGATCTGAAGTGAGGGAATATGACTGATGTTATGCGTGTATAGTCAGAATTTTGTAAACGTGTGCATTGATCATGTACTCATGAAGCTATCGTGGGGATATGCATTCCTACGGGCGTGCATGTAAGCGTCAGTTGCGTCTAGCCGATGTCAACGACATTGTACCCACTTCTGTCTAAATCCGGTCGCGAGCATTCTTCAATATCACCATTGGCATTGATTAGGTATATGTTTTTACTTGCTGACTCGATGTTCCTGACAGATGGAGATAGCTGCGGGATCAACTGTTCAATCACCTTACATATTGGCATACATCATTCACCATCCCTAAGATGATGCAACACGGGCTCCTAGAATGCGATCCTCCCTTTGGAATATGAGAAAACATTTAAATAATCCCCTTGAGAAGAGCATTCAACCGTCGACCTAAGTATCACCTGCAACCTTGACATGTTGTTCAATTGCTCTTCCACTGCCGACATGGCGGCTGGCTTATCAGCAAGCTCCGGTGACATTTCGCGATGAATTTCCCTTAAGTGCCCAGATAAGAAGGTGGGGGCGTTCCCGCGCTGATCGCTGTCGGCGCGTTCCGATTTTGCTTCCCCTCAACAACTCGGACCGGTCCGGCGGTCTCCATTTCCCCCGATGACCGGTCATTGCCCGCTTCACGCACCAGAGGTCAGACGGCGGCGGCCACTTCGTCCGCATGTTCTCGTCTGAGTTGCCTCTTGCCTTGCGCTCTTGTTTGTTAGGATTCTTGGCCGTTGGAGTTGCCTTGGGCAAGTAAGACTTTGAGTCAAGCTCTCGACTCTTGAACGAGGGCGTACGAACGTCGAGTCAAGTACCATGGAGGAACGTCTCGAGAATAACCAGGAAAAGAGCGCTGAGAAACAAGCTGGTCCTAGTCCTGCGATGCCGCGCCGGTCCTCGAACGATCACGCAACCATCGAAGCTTTTCCCGGTGACACTCAACCCACACTGCAATCTCCAAAGACTGCATCGGACACAAGTAAGTTGAGCCAACTCACGCTCTTCGGTCTCGAAAGTCCTTCGAACGAGCTCTAATGAGACCCAGTAGACGATGAGCTCCACGACGACGAAATCGAGTATCCCGACGGCGGGTTTCAGGCTTGGATGGTGGTGGTCGGCGCGTGGTGCGCCATGATCCCGCCGATGGGCCTCATCAACACCATTTCCGTGCTCCAAGGCTGGCTGCTGCAGAACGAGCTCAGGGGCGTACCTGAAAGCAAAGCGGGATGGATCTTCTCTTGTTATGCGTTTTTCATCACGGCTTGCGGGGCACAAATTGGTCGGTATTCTCTGGAGTGCCGGTAACCCAATTGAGACTGACGATGGTGTCAATCACAGGACCAGTATTTGACGCATTCGATATCAGGGTGCTACTCATCCCAGGATCCATTGGCATGATTGCCTCAATGATCTTCCTCAGCTTGTCGACAGGTAACCCCCCCAACACCAGCATCGCACCGACAGTACCATGGTTCGCATCAGTGCTGACGCAACGCCTACCTACCCAGAGTTCTACCAAATGCTCCTCTCCTTCGGCATCTGCGGCGGCATCAGCGCCGCGTTCCTCTTCAACCCAGCCCTCTCCGCCATAGGCCACTGGTTCAACGAGCGCCGCGCCTTCGCGACCGGCGTAGCCTGCACGGCCGGCGGCCTCGGCGGCATCGGCTTCTCCCTCATCATCCAGTACCTCGCGCCCCGCATCGGCTTCCCCTGGGCCATGCGCATCATCGCCTTCATCTCAACGGGCAGCCTGGTCGTCACGAACATCTTCCTCCGGAAACGCCTCCCGCCCAAACGCAAGGCCAAGGCCCTGATCGACTTCCGCCTCCTGCGCGGCTCCAGATTCGGCGTCACGGTGGTGGCCGTCTTCTTTGTGGAGTTTGCCGTCTTCATCCCGTACTCGTACATATCGTCCTACGCCATCGAAAAGGGACTCGGCCTGCAAAAGTCCTTCCTCCTCAACGTCCTGCTCAACGCCGGCGCGATACCCGGACGAATGTTACCGGGGTACATTGCCGACCGCGTGGGCGCCTTCAACACTATGTGCGTCACGTCCCTGTGCTGCGGCGTCTTGATTCTGGGACTGTGGCTCGCTGCGGGCGACGTGGACGCCAAGATCATGTCCTTTACCACGCTATTTGGATTCTGGTCCGGGGCGGCGATCAGCTTGTCGCCGGTGTGCATCTCACGTGTCTGCAAGATCGAGGACTATGGCAAGTCGACGGGCATGGCGTACTTTATTGCGAGTTTTGGTGCGCTGGTGGGTATTCCCTTGGCCGGATTCCTGTTGAAGACGGGGACCGAGCCGTATCGGAACTTGATCATCTTTGCGGGGGCGGCGTACATGGTTGCGTTTGTTGCTTTTTGTGGTGCTAGGGGCATCGCGGGCGGGTGGAAACCAGCGTTGTTCTAGAGGAGGAATCGCAACTTGTGGATGAGGCCTAGTAACCGAAAGCTAAGCGGCGAAACGAAGCATTTGAGCAAGTGGGTGATCGGAAAGGATGCCGAGCAAAGGGGCTAGCATGATTGATCGTGGCATCGTTAGTAGCATTGATAGTTGCGATAATAGTAGCAGTAGCAGCAGCGTTGTCAGTAGCATTAAGAACATAAGTAGCCAGCTCAGTACCTTCACCCACTTGCCAGGGTACCACAGCGAGACGGTGTCAACTGTGAAGAGAGAGTTCATGTTAATGTTTCTGATAATTCATTGTCGTCTAATCCTCATAATTATTGTGTCTACCTAGTGAAGCTGTTCAACCATTTCGGCTGATGTAAACCACATCTTGTTATTCACAATTTTTCGTCGGCCGAAGTGCGGGAATGCCGGACTCCACTAGCCGGAGATGAGATGCTTTTCCGCTACCTCGCGCACCAAGCCTGCAATCTTGCAAGTGGGCTTGAATATGATTGAAATGATGGTACCCTAGACTGATTATAGCTTTCTCCTTGGCGGATAAGTCATTTCACCAGACAGCTCAATCCACCTTGACAACTTCTGCATCTGAATGAGCGGAGAAGAAGGGGTGTTAGTCTGTGCACATGGTCCAACGCAGTGCTCTGCACCCTCCATTCCCGCAGAACCACCATCCAGCAGTTTGACTCATTGGAACGTGACAATTGCCGTTTGAATTCCTTCTTAGCCAGGAATGGCAACCATTATCCGGTCGTTCTGGAATATTGTAGCGGGAATAAACGCAACACACCCGAGACTGACTTGAGATAACATGCGTATAAGAGGTGTATGCATCAAACGGGCTCATGCTGTGTACTTCCAACTTTCACCACCACTAACACCCATTCATTATCACTCAGCTAGCGCTAAGCCATACCTCACACACTAGCACCGCTTATCACGAGTTGCAAGAGGAGGTGATGGCTGCCTGATCCTAAGGGACAACTCTCAACATCCAATCAATTATCGCGTAGCCAACATCACCAATCTTCAACAACACGATGGCCCGTCAGTGCGATTTTATATAAAAAGGGACCCGTCTGATAGATCGAGTTCACACTGAATAACTTGCCCATCGATCTATTGGCCAACTTGAGGAACTCCGCACCCTCCAAGAACGGCCTTCAGTTTTCCGAATCTTGTATCACGCCATGGCAGACAGCGCGCCCAGAGAAGCCGAGCCGGAGCGGCGCGAGGCTCTCGACATCCTCGACGCCAAAGCCTCTCAGTTGGTAGATCTAATCAAGAAGAGCAAGCACTTTATTGCCTTTACCGGTGCAGGCATCTCTACCTCTGCAGGTGAGTTTTACTCTCCATTGATATGACATGCAAGTCGCGCCATTCGACTGGGCCGCCCCAGTTGTTTGGTCTACATGATCAAAAAAAACATTCAGGGTTAAACAATGGTAACTTAGGAATTCCCGACTTCCGCGGACCCGAAGGTGCCTGGACACTCAGAGCCCAGGGAAGGCAGAGAACGGGCAAGACGACGGACACGCTCCAGGCCATCCCGACCAAGACGCACATGGCGCTCGTCGAGCTGCAGGACCGCGGCATCTTGAAGTATCTCGTCAGTCAAAACTGCGACGGCTTGCACCGGAAGAGTGGGATTCTACCAGTGAGTTTCTGGTTTATCACTGCTGGGGTCCGGAGAGTTGATCAGACAATGGCTTACGCTTGTTATTACCCTTCGTCCAGGAGAAGATTTCCGAGCTTCATGGAAACAGTAACCGCGAGTACTGCAAAGACTGCGGTAAAGAATACCTCCGAGGTATAATATCTCCTTTCCTTCACCATATCCTCATTCGCCCTTCCTATTGAAGTTTATGGCTCCTCAACTCGCCACGACTTCAACCTCACATCACGACAACCACTGACAAAAAACCAGACTTCCGCGCCGTAGCAACCTACGAAAAATCAATCCGCGACCACCGCACAGGCCGCAAATGCCCCCTCTGCGCCGGCACCCTCCTCGACACAATCATAAATTTCGGCGAATACCTCCCCGCCCAACCCCTCGCCCTCGCCCGCTCCAACGCGCGAAAGGCAGACCTCTGCCTCGCCCTCGGATCCTCCCTGACCGTGCCCCCCGCCTGCACGATCCCCGAGACCGTCGGCAAGAAGAAGCGCACAAAGACGTACCCGGCCGGCGGGACGCTCGTGATTTGTAACTTGCAGAGTACCCCGCTGGATCACCTGAGCGAGGGGCTGCGCGTGTGGGCTACGACGGACGATTTGATGGTTCGGGTGATGGAGAAGTTGGAGATTCCTATCCCGAGATTCGTGCTGAGGCGGAGGTTGGTGGTGGAGGTTGAGGTGGTGGGGGAGGAGAGGTATCAGCTTACGGCGAGGGGGGTAGACGTCGACGGCACGCCCGCGAGCTTTTTGCAGTCTGTGAGGATGCAGGGAAACAGGCGCGTTGCGCGGACCGAGCCGTTTGTGATTCCTTTCCGGAGCGAGTTGGCTGCTGAGGCGAAGATCATGGTGGAGCTGGAGTTTATGGGACACTACGGCGAGCCTGTCTTGGAGATTGGGATGGAGTATAATAGAGAGGAGAAGCTGGAGAGGATGTATCTGCTGGAATATGACCCTTCGACTGGGGCCTGGAAGATTAGTACACAAGACGATGGGAGTTTTGCTGGGCGGGGTGGCACGGCTGAGACAGACGAGGACATGGAGGATTCGCTGATGATTTCGGCCGAGGACGCGGGTGTGCCTAGCCATATTATCGCCTCGTCTGCAGCCAGTGAGGTCATCGACCTGACTTCACCCTGATGTAGCGTGCCTGCTTCTGGAGGACTCTATAAGGACCGGTTGATCTGGCATGAGACATAGCTCTTTGCTGACGGGAGTACCAAGAAGATTACGTATGCCGTATGTCTCAAGATGAACCATTCCATCAAGAGTAACGAGCAGCAAATCGGAAACGGCATCCAAGAGTAACAAATATATCATCAACATAGCTGCATGAAAGCAGCGTTACTCAATTTTTGTAAGGTACGACTATAGCTATGAACACGCATTACATATCCCATATCCACAAAATGTCGTGTGAACGTTAATTTTCATGAATTACACATTAAACAAAAAGCTCGCTTGAACGTCCATTAAGCATGCGCATGGCTCGCATCAGAGCAGAGCAGCAACCACGACACCAGCGGCTGCGGCCAAGATGCCGGAGCCAAGACGCTCAGCAGCGTTGGTGACCTGGACTGGTCCGGTGGTGGTCTTGCTGGGCGAGGCGACGGGCGTGGTGGCAGCGGGAGGAGGGGTACCAGCAGGAGGAGCAGAAGGTGTGCCAGCCGGAGGGGGAACGGGAGTGCCGGCGGGAGGGGTGCCGGCGGGCGGAGCAGGGTGAGTGCTAGCTGGCGGCGCGGGAGGAGTGCCAGCTGGGGGAGTACCAGCAGGGGGCGCCGGGTGGGTGCTGGCGGGAGGAGCAGGAGGGGTTCCGGCAGGGGGAGTGCCAGCGGGCGGTGGAGGAGGCGGGCTGCTGGGCGCGGGGTGCACAGTGGTGAAAGTGTGAGGCACGCTCTCGGTGACAGGGCAGATGGTGGTGGAGACAGGAATGGTCTCGGTGGTGGTGTGAGGACCCTCAGGGCAGTTGGGAGTATCAGGAGGGCACCTGGTGATGGTGTGGACCCTGGTAGTGTAAACCGTGGAAGTCGTCCAGGTCGTTGGTGGAGGAGCTGGGTGGGTGGGAACAGGCTTTGTAGACTCCTCGGTAACGGGGCAGATGGTCGTCGAGATGGCGATGGTCTTGGTTGTGGTAACAGGCGTGTGAGGGCAGTTTGTGACACTGGGAGGGCATCTCGTCACGGTCTCGACAGTCGTAGTGTAGACGGTGGAAGTCGTCAGCTTGCTGGTGCGAGTCTTGGTGTGAGGAGGCTTCTCGGTGGTCGTGTTGGCGTAGGGGGTGGTTGTGGGAGGAGGAGGGACCCAGGTGGAAGACTTGCTGGGGTGGGGGTGATGGCTCTTGGTCGTGCTCTCTCCCTTGGTGCTGCTAACGGCAGTCTCGGTGGTGCAATCCTCAGTTGTAGTAGGAGGGGGAGGAGGAGGGGCATGAGTCGTTGGGGCTTGCTTGAGTGTGAGTGTTGGCTCTTGGTGCTCACGGTCGTCTCAGTGGTGCAATCCTCCGTGGAAGTGGGAGGGGGAGGAGGAGGGACGTGAGTCGTGGGGGGTTTGCTAGAGTGTGAATGATGGCTCTTGGTGCTCACTGTCGTCTCGGTGGTGCAGTCTTCAGTCGTCGTGCTGTGGCCCTTGGTGCTGCTGACAGCAGTCGAGGAGGTGGTGCAGTCCTCACTTGACGTAGAGGTGCTGTGGACCTTGGTCGAGCTGACAACTGTAGACAAAGTGGTGCAGTCCTCCGATGAAGTGGATGTGCTGTGAACTTTGGTGCTGCTGACGGCGGTGGACGAGGTTGTGCAGTCTTCGGACGAGGTGGAGGTGCTGTGCTCCTTGGTCGAGCTTACAGCCGTTGACGACGTAGTGCAGTCCTCAGAGGAGGTGGAAGTGCTGTGAGCCTTGGTGCTGCTGACCCAGGTGGACGATGTGCTCGTCTCAGAAGTGACGGGAGTTGAGGATGAATGCTCCTTGGAAGACCAAGTGGTCTTGGTTGCCTCAGTGGTACTGACGGTGGTCGGGGGAGCGGGAGTGCTGGTAGTCCACGGGGCCGAGGTGCTGGTGGTGGGAGGAGCCGTGGTGCTTAAGCTGTAGGTGATGCAGGAGCAGGCAGAGGAAACAGCCTTGACATCTCCACCACAGTTGTTGAAGTCGGTGGGAATAGCAGCGGCAGCAGTGGTGGTTCCGTGGAGGAACTCGACACAGAAACCTTTGGCCTCCTCGGCGAAGCGCTCGTCAATGAGGTTGCGGTAGCACCCATCGTGTTCCTGTAATGGGTTAGTGGAGAGTTCTCATCATAGGTATAGTTCATCCCGTAAAGCAGTGACTGAATAAGACGAGATAGGTAATGTGATTTGGTGTAGTAAAAGTAGACAGGGGTATGAGGAGACGTACACAATAGGGGTATTCCCAAGCGTTGACGGACGCCAGGGCAATGGCGCCCAGTCCCATGTAAAGGCCGCGCATTTTGGATCTTGTTCTTTTGGAAGCGAATGACAGTGACTTTGAAAGTCAACCAGTTGATTGGAGCGAGAGGACGATTTACTCGTAGCGACCGTGGGTAAGGAGAGAAAGAGGAGGCACGAACCATACTCTCGGCGCGGCGAAGGGGACTTTATCAGAACGTAGACGAGGGTGTGGATGGTTGCCGGTTGCTGGAGGCTACGTCGGGCCACGGCGGGGAGTGATGCATCCATCACCCATCACCCATCACCCATCCATCCCACCAGGGCGGGCTGGCTAGCAGAATACGAGCTGGAGCCGCAGCACAGCTCGTGGTTGATCTCTTGGTTGCCTTTTACCCATGTTCCCACCCAGCCATCGCACGAGATGAGGCACCATGTCGATATGCAAGGTAACAGTAGTGCCCTTGCTGTCAGGCCGGGCTACATCATGGCCATGGCATAGCTGCCAGTAAGCAGAAGGTTGCGCCGGTGGTCTACTAGCGAGCCCAAGGCCACTCACACCACGTAGGGCGAGTTCAAGGTCGACCAGTCACCGGTCAACCATCGGTGATTCTGTCGAGTTTGAATACATGGCGTGTGGGCGATGGCGGCGTCCGTCAGCTCGTACCGATGGCTAGTGTGATGTTCTGTCATGACTTGGACATCTCAGGAATACGGCACTCGGAGAAGACGGGCGGAAGTAGACGGCGAGGTATGGTCGCCATGGTGAAGAAGACGACACGGAGGAGACCGGCGCTGTCAGAGACGGGAGTGACTCTGGATTGGAAGCAGTGCTCGAGAAGTGAAGGGCCCGGTGTTCCAGTGATGATCTCAGAGGGTGGAGATGGCACCAGGAACACGGTGGATGACTTGCTGGAAGAATCTGGAGGATCTTCGACCATGAGGAGAAGCGGAGTCTGATGGAGCAAGGTTGTCGAGTTGATAATCCTTGCGTTGCTCCGGTCATTGGACGGTTGTTTCGACGTTTGTCGACGGCGCATCGGCCGGGTCCACAAGAGGCAGTTGTAAGTGGAGTTGATGGGTGAAGTTTCTTTGTCGGCTTGCAAAGTCTGTTTCTTTTCTCCCGCCGGCCGCCTCCAACGGTGCGGTTCGACGGCGTGGATGGCGTACAGTAGACGGGTGGACTCGAGGTTGGAATGACAACTCGCGTGGGAAGAAGGCCAGCGGAAAATCCAAAAGGTCCCATCTTCCTGCCTTCCCAAGTTTCCCCCCTGCCTGATGGCTTTCGCTTAGCGTGCTCTAGCCAGGGGTAGCCTAGCCTGTCGGATGACCGAGACGTGCGATCAAAGCCAATCAGTGACAGCCTTGGCCAATTCAGGACGGACATGTGGGGCATCACCAGCTCTATCCGGTGGGGCCCCTCGCTGCCTCGCTGGGCAACTGCCAACTCCAGAAAAACATCGCGCCTTCCTCGTACAGGAGGGCACAGCTCGGCTAACACGGAAGTCGCCAACTGAGATATTCTTGCCGTCTACCTTAGCTACTATGTTTTTTTTTGTCTACACAATTCTTCGAGACTTTGTGCGTCTGCCTGAGGTACATACGTTCTGGAGAGTTAGGCAAGATCGGTACGTATTTCGGATTTATGCATCCCAAGCGACCCCACCTGACTTCATCCCGCTTCCCCGGGCCTCTCCTTCTCCCGCCCGCATTCCTCGACAAAGACACCCAACTTCCCACTTCGCATGACCTCGACCCAGGTACCTTACTATGGATACTCAGTATGGTATTCAAGCTTAATGCTAGTCATACTGATACGATGGGACAACAATCACCAGCTTCCAAACCCTACCCCTCCGTCAGGTGCTGGGCTGGCTGGCCGTTTCTTCCACCGCTAATCCCAACCAGGACACGACAAAGGCGCGCTCTTAACTTTTCACTTTGGCCTCACGAACGCTCCCTTCTCGCTAAACTTACGAAAAGACCGAATTACGGCCATGGCCTAAGAAAAGAAACCAAGCTTGAGGCTTTTTGGCACCCTGGCCGCGCCTAATGCACAACGCTGCACCCCGTCGCCTTACTCGCCCGCCCTTTTCCGTCTTCTCTTCCTTGCAGCTCGCCGCTTGCTAGCTCGCTTTCCCCCTCACGCCGCCGCATCATGCGTTGCCAGGAAGGTTGCTACAAGACCTGGTGTCTTTTGCTCACTCGACAACTCAACAACCTCATTGGAAAAGATCTTTTACCATAGCGAGATGACGATGGACGCCCATGAGGTAATTTCGCGCGGATTTCCACCGCTCCATCCCACCACCTCCTAATACTTACCCGCCTTGAGTATTGCTACTCACACTCAACTTTTCTCCCCATGCTGTCGGCACTTTACAGCATCATCCCACCATCTTTGGCACGTAGGCTGCCTGGCAAAGTTCGCCGTCGGCTGCCTTCGCCCGACCAACCACCTGGCTGAGTCACTTTATTGCGGCACAGCGCTGCATCGTCACATCGTCGCTTGACCTAAATCTCACGATGGATACGAGAATCCCCTCACTTCCGGCGAGGGCCGCGGGGTTCCCGCCACTATGCATTTCATCGCCTCGCCCCAGTGCTGACCGATCTTCGTTAACCAAAACAAGCTTTTGACCTTTATACCTGCAGTACATCGCAGCGTTCGCACGACGATGTTCACCGCAAGTCGACCGTGTCTTCGATGAAGTTTCACGTCCAGTCGATTCTCTGTGTGGTCCCAGTTGCACGTACGTCGACAGGTGCCAGGCATGCTATCGCTAGTCTGGCTGAGATCTGGGGAAGTTGGGCGGCACAACACTCCATCCCATCACCAGTTCCACGACCAAGTCCCAAAATGTCGATCAATCCTCACCTAACCCTCGCACGTGCTTCTCGTTCAAGATACTCCCAGCGAAATTCCCACAATCGGCCGCTGTACCAAGTCGGTGTGTGTTGGCCGAGTACTGTAGTTTAGTTCAGCTGGCAGCTTGGCGATCAAGCCACTCCCTTGCACCCGCAGACAGGCGCAACGTTGCTTCACGCTGGGCCGCCACGACACCGCTTGAATGGACTGCGCACAGCCAGATCTCTCAATGCAGGCATACGTGAAGTCCTGGAACAGGGTCCTTGGTCAACATGCAACTCTTTTCAAATGCATAGGTTTGGGTCACTGACTGAGACTTCTTCATGGACGCGTCCAGCTTTCCTTTTCTCTAATTTCTCCGGCTCTTGGCTTCTTCGATCCCTCGGACCCGCCGGCAAACACGAGGTGCAGCTAGGAAAGGCTTCCTTCGCATCCAAATACCTATCCTTCAGGTGCCTCGGCTTCCTCAACTCGACCTCTAACTTGCTTTTCCTCGAATACACAGTAAACGAGTCTCGAATCAGATCATTGTGCTGGACTCGTCTCGTGACGTCAAGTCCCCCCTTGTTCCACCGGTCACGGTCCACTACGCTAAATCGCCTCGGCCCCGCGGGACTTGCTCCGTGAGTGCCAAGCGGGCCAAGACTAATAGACCCCGAGGCTTTCGATTGTTTAGCTTCTGTCGATTAGCCACTCACAACACGACAGTCGAGTAACACAAAACGCGCTGCCATTGCTAGTATCTCCCGAGTGTTTGGCTCTACTTCGTTAGCTGGACGTCGATGTACGCACCTCGATCTGTTGATTGGATCTCGTCTAAGTCAACTAAGGCGTTATTGGTTTTTTTTTTTTTTTTTTAGTTATCGACATCAACGAGCTCGTATCCACAGCCTTCAGCTATGATCTAGCAGAGTCTAATACATGTGGCTGCTAGTGAGACAACAGGTGGTGCAGGAACGCTTGGGATAGATTCAATGCTATAGTCTCCACTTGCGATTCATGACTATAGTCCATTCGCGATCGTTGTCGAAGCAAGAGTTGGTTTTGCTCTCGATACGTCAAAGCTAGAAACATGGCAACCACATTGGTAAATTCAAACGGAGTCAATTACTGCCAGGTCGTGAGAATCCACTGCCCCCAGTGTTGCAGAATCCGGTGTGAAATAAACTTTTGTTGAATGTAAGAAGTCTGGAGGGAGTTCACTCCACGAGGTGATTATCATAGTACAACTCCAACTCATGACGACCAGTGGCCTCAATTGGCTGGCACAAGAATGACGGAAAATCAATCCTCGCTGGATGGGCGAAGTAGTTCGTCTGAATATTTGATATGACCGTATAACGTGACTGAATGGCGGGAGAGGATGTAGAGGAGTACGCAGGCTCATTCGATGTGTTCTGAGCACAGCTGACAGGAAAGCCTGCAGAAATTTCGCGGCTTTCATGAGGCCTCTATTTCACGGTTTGTCATACACACGTCTAGTGACAGCTTCTGGCGGGGTAAGTACAGTGAAGGGCCAGTGAGTAGTAATCCAAGCAAAATGCCGGCCATTACATGAGCACTGCCTACATTTACCGCCGTGATCTCCCTCTGCTAATCTTTCAAGGGAATATTTAAAGTATAAGTAGAGCGTAAGAATTTCAAGAAACAAACGTATAATCATGATGCCGATAGTTGTAGCAACAGATTCACAGGATGTATGAATGGCAAATCATTCTATTACCCGCTTATGGGCTCTGCAACGCAACCGCCAGACTAAGAAGTACATGACTGGCCAATATAGCGACGCTGAGCTAGCGTTCCCTACCATGGCGGGAAAGGCCCAATATGTTGGTTGAGCATTTTCAGCACCGTGCATCTTCACCTCGACGATTGTTGGGGGAGTTTTGTTATTTTACTGAATAGACAGTTCAACTTGCCTAGAAGCTGACTTTACGACTCAAGCAACGGGCGGAAAGCCAGGCAATCATTGCTTAGGGACCTGTCGGTTTTCCTGGTGCTGCCATCTCCATGGCATATTAACAGTCAGATTCATGCATCAATGTCCTCTCGCTTCTCAACCTCCTATCTGGCGTAGAAAATTTCGCAAGTGCAATCGTTGAACTTGTCGAAAATCAAAAGCACCTGGTACTCCATGTACAAAGATCTGACAAGATGGAAGTCGTCTGAATTGACTGGCTGCCTGACCGCACGCGGCACGCTCTCACACAGCTGATGAACTTTGACCAGCTATTCGCCGACGCATCAAATGTTAGGCATAGTTGATAACGTTTCTAGGTCCGGAAAACCGCCAATCCAAGGCAGTCAAAACAAGAACGTCAAACGTGCTCTTTGTCATGCCGGCCGTAGAGATGAATGCTTACGCCGGCTCTCTCTCACGGTCATCTTGTTTGTGCAGCCAATTCATGACCATCGAAAGCATTGAACAAAAGATTCGAGACCACTGAAGTTTCCTGGGTACTTCTGATGTTGAGCTACCTTACCTTGGCTTAGGTATAAGGGCCATCGAGGGCAGTTACGCCGTTCATCGCAAGCGAGACCTCTGCAGCGTAAAGCAGCCTGTGCATGTCAGCGCCTACCTATATGTAAATGATGGTCAACAATGTGCGGTTACAGGCTGCCGTAGCCGGCCTGGCGCCAGCACTGAATGATCTCCCCACGCTCCCCAACACGTTCAGACACTAGCCGAAAACGCCCCGCCGCACCACATGCTAAGCCCGGCAGTCCTGGGCGATCGGCTGGCGGTGTTTTGCAAGGCAGACAGAATCATCTGCACATCCATGCCTGTGAAGTGCCTGTAAATAGGCACAAAAAAAAAAAAAAGCACCACCAAATTACATCTCAGAGAACCAAGCTATGCAGCATCTACCAGTTGCGGTTGAACAGGATCATTTGAAGATAAACGCCAAGTTTTCAAGACACTGATAGATGCGTGAGGATCTCATTCTTACCTACTTAGTCACATAGAGCTCACGCATGTATTATCCAGGCGGGCCAGGAGACAGGCAGGTAACGACGTCTCAATTCCTGCGCCGCCGACCTCATGTTTGCAACAAATTCGGGGTTCCAGCGGTGACCAATCAGTGGCTACCACTCAAACAAAAGTAGAGAGACATGAATTCTCCTCTTCGGGCTTAGTGCCTGATAGCGCTCACTGCCTCCAGCGTATTTTCCAAACTGAGAATAGCCTCCTTCTGTCAGTCACGACGTCACTGTCACCCAAGATTGCTATATATCAGTTGCCAAGTGACGGCGGAACGTCTCTCAGCTTCAAAACCACCTCGTTAAAGACAGTTGAACGAGACTATCACCACTTATATCTTCCTCAACGCTACCGAAGCTACAAACACAGCCAACTTTCTTCCCCAAGAAAGATTGTACGTTCCGTCAAAGCACTGCAATCGCAGCGTGCCAACCATTTCTAAACCATATCCGCCATGAGTTCAGTCTCGTCTGGAAGCTCGGACTACGGTGACGCGCCACCTGGTTACAAGGAGGCAATCGATTCGGAGAGCTTCGTGTCACCAAGCGACAGTGGTATAATCAGCCAGCTCGACATCCAAGCCATTGGCTATGACACAAACCAGGCCCTCACGGGCAACAAGCTGGAGGATATCCCGGTGTGCCGCGTTGGCTCAGGCGAGCTAGAGTACACCTCCGTCCGGCTAAAGAAGAGCTCCAACTCCTGCGCTCTCGTCCGCGGATCCGACTCTAGCCAGACGCCTCTGATATCGACAATCTACCGTTGGGGCCCCGGTCGGCGTCCCAGAATGAGAATCCTAGCACCGGGAACTACCGCCACGGTGGAAGAAGCCATCAACTCGGACCACCTCGTCTGCGAGGTAGTCGAAGTCAAAAGCCGCAACATAATGTCGCGCACGCAAGAATTCAAGACGTCTTTCGGCACCTTTGAGTGGCGCTACGGCGGGCGCGACGAGCGCAAGGAAGCCTCCAAGGCGTCCTCCCTCTTGGTCTTGGAACGCACTGACGACGCTGCCACGGCCTTGGCTGGTAATAGTGGCAAGGTGGGCAAGCACGGCGTCCCGGTCGCTCAGCTTGTCCGCAACAAGGAGCTTCGTACCCAAGGCACGAGTCGCTGGATGGGTGGCAATGGCGGTCGTTTGATCATGAACCTTGGAATGTGGGCGGATGATAAGAAAACGACTACCAAGGACGCCGAAGCTTTCATCGTCGCCAGCTGTATTCTCATGCTCAAACGAGAGGCTGATCGGTTCAAGGACAACACGATTGCCGCCGTTGTCTGAGTCAGATTAGATCGGGCGTGTGTATACGACGAGACGATCTATGAGGAGGCCTGTGAGCAGCGAATAGTTATTTCCCTTTTTACGACATGGCGTCAGGTGCGGAGGGAAGTGCTCACAAAGACTGTATTGATATCCTGTTGGTATTCGGGCTTTTTCTGGCACTTAGATACTCTAGACCGTTTTGAATCAAACTTAACTCAAACCTTGAACCAATGCGCTTTTTTTCGCAAATACAAATCTCATAAACGTAGGCACCATACGATGGGCGACGATGCACGTTACTCGCAATGGTTACACGTAGTACTTGATTAAATCGCAGAAGAGCATGAGTTTTCAATCGAAGATATTCCATGGGACTTTTGTCCTGAAAACTAGGTCCAGGTCACTCAACTTCTAGTTCCAGTGGAAGGGTTAAGCGAAGCCGAGCGCGGGTTCAAGCATAGTTGCGACTCACCCGGAAGAGGCTCGGCACGAAACGAGCAATGGAGGCATCGCATTTCTTTAACGCTTTATAGGAAATGATAGACACTCATTCAAGTGCACAAGCATGGTGAATTACTTACAGTCTGATGGTTACTGGTATGATTTGTCTGCTTGAAAGGATGGCGTCAGGTTACAAGGGTGAAAGGAGGATTCGAGAAAGTGCTTCAATGTCAAGGCCTTGTTGAGGCACTCTCTACTATAGTCCGTGGCAGTAGATCGGAAATTGTAGAGCTAGTCTTTCGTCGACCTTGGCAGACGGCCGGTTTAAGTCCTTCCGTTTCTGGCACCGTCGAGTTTGGAGAAACTGGCTTGGGATGAGGCAATGATGCCCTTAGTACATACAAGTCGCCTTTGACTGGAGATGATACGGTACTCGGCGTTAAGACATCTTCCCTTTCAAGGATGCGCAACAGAAGATTTGAGAACCCGTTTCTGGTTGTTTCCAAACCACAGACAGCAGCCTTGTCAAGTTGGAATGATCTGCTCTCAGACTACTTTACCTGCCCAATAGCCTCCATTTGTCAACCATGAAGCATCCACGCCTCATGATACTATCACCAGTCAGTCTTCCAAATTTCGGCGCATCACCATGGCTCCGCCCGGTGTTCCCGGTGATTCTTCGCGCAAAAGATCAGCTTCACCGTTATCTAGCGATGAGAATGACCGCTATGAGTTACGCAGCAAGGCAAAGGTAGTTTATCTATTTTTTCGTCGACCCCAAACTTTGGAATGTCATACAACGGGACTTACCAGTTTAACTCTACTTGTTAATGATTGTCCATGGCCACCGAATGAGAAGCTAACGTCCTCAAGAAGGCGAAAGTTGGCCAGAAGCTAGGTTTCTTGTAAGTCTCCACGTCGAAGGTGCACGTACAGCGGGCTGATGCTGACAACAAAATCCTAGATCACTGCCAGCCGAGTTACGCAACATAGTCTATGATCTCACTCTCGTACAAAGACGAATCATCGTCAACTATGATCGTCTCAAAATGCGTTTTCGACACCATCGAGACCATCGCGTTTCTGGCTCTCTCCTTCGCATCTGCAAGGCAGTTTACGCCGAAGCCAGAGCTTTGATGTACTCGGCCACATTTGAGCTCGAGAACATGGAATACCTCGAACAATGGCTGAGAACCCTCGGCCCAGGAGCTGCCGACATACGAGATATCAGATTGACACGGTCATTCCAAGCATCCTACGCTCAAAGTTACGGAGTTAATCTTCCAGTGTGGTACCAGGGAGATTACAGAGCTACCACCCGGCAGGTTGCCCAACTCCTCAGTGGCTGCCACCATCTCGAAAACCTGGAGTTGGGCTTCTTGTACACTACAAAGTACCAGACGACGCCCCTCATCGAGAACAAAGACAACCCCCCGTACTGGAAGAAGGAGGCACGACTTCTTGCCGAGATGGTGTTTCGCGATTTGTTCGTCTTGCTAGTAGCGGCTAAGGCTTCCGGCAAGACGGTGGACCAAGTGGCGAGCCTAGCCAAAATCCACCACAAAAACTTTGAGTGTCTCAAACACCATCCCTCCAATGTGGGGAAGGGCAATGCACATGGAGAAACACGTTGTCACATGAAGTTATTGATTGCGAAGTACATCGCAAATCGATCACACCCCCGGAAGCCATCTATCCCAGCTTTTTTGGCATAGTCCATCTATGTCACAGCAACCGGAAACTGAATGAGCGCCAACGATGTCGAGTTTACTGGAATGCGAGCAGCTTTCCAGCAGTTGTATTGCCCTCAATGATATCCGGTTGTATGCGACAAAGCGAGCAGATAGCGGCGTCACAGGCATCACAAGCATCGCAGGCGAGATGTACCGTGCAGTTGAGCATTTGATAACACCAGGAAACACGGCGTCTGCTTGAGCAGCAGATGAAGACTGGCAACGGATTAGGAAGAAAGTTGAAGGTCCAAAGCATCATAGCTATTGATCCCTGTATTTTACATTAGTTGTTAGCGGGAGGAAATGCAATTGGTAAATTGAGCATGACTTTACTTGCAAACAACGCTGAGATATGCGGCTTATCCAGTTTATCCGCCTCGCGTATTCTTAAGGCAGAACATAATTCCTCAATGTACCTATGCTAGTGATCAGTGATGTTTCAAGTATGTTTATGAAGGGGAGTCCCAGCCGGAAAAGTAATCAAAGATTGTGATGTCTCTCATTGAAGGAGAGGATGACCTTTGTCATCATGGTGAGCGGCGTCGGCTTTTGGATGGGGAAGACTGAGAATGGACTTATCGCATTGAAGGCGGCCCATATTCGAAATCTCAGGCTCAAGAAAGAAAAGATGGTCAACGGACTAGTTTGCGGACTTCGGGGGGATTTGGGTGAAAGAGGTAGGCCTCTTTTAGAACAAGCTTGGCCATGCCTTCCACTTGGAAACAGTCAGTTGCTCATCAATATTTTCCACTTCAGATGTTGCACAACTATCAGACGCAGGGGACCCATCGAGCCACAGATAATTACCTAGAGCATAGAGAGCTTATTATCACGGTCCGAGGACGCCATTATGATCAGACACGGCACTCCGAGGCGACGCTCGAAATCAAACAAATCCGCCTGTATCATAGTTTGTTGAAACAATTCCGTGGCGAATGGCGTAGCCGTTCGGCGCATTGGCCAGTAATTGCGGTAGGAATGAAGGAATAGTATGTAATGACTAGCCAGCGGATTAGGGTCTAGTGTCTAAAATTGGCATGGTGATAACAAGGAAGAACTTGGTTCGACTTCAAACAAAACATACCTCAATACTGGCCACTGATCCTAGCCCAAGTCTCCGAGCAATCTGTAACTGTTTGCGCTAACAAGCATTTCTAATCCACGTCTCGCGCAAAAGTTCAGCATATGTAATTTGAATGCTTATACGAATTTATAGGGTATCAAAATGGAGCTTCTGCTTCTAAATTACAAAGATTTGTATAGCCAAATGACATCGCTTTGTAAAAGCTGTCGTTGCCTCTGAACAATGCCCGGTATCTCATGATATTTGGCAGGTCGACTTCGAGTCGCTAGCGGGACACGGATGTACAGGACATAGGCCGCCGTATCGCCTTATTTGAGTCGATATCGATTATGACGACCCTTTGTCTATGTCAATGTGACAAGTATCGCTGGTGTCCTGCACCGTGATTTGATGTGGGATTCACCCAAGGAGCGTTGGACTTGATGTTTGCGCTGTCTCTATTTCGGTGTTCGCGGTCTTTCGTAACGTTTGTGGTGGGTGCGTGGTTACTACAACCTAGAGTTGCGTACATTAGCTTCTGCTGTTGACGAACTGGCCCATCATGTAGAAGGTTTGGCTTACCGTTTCGGTGTCGTTCAGTTGTTCACCGGTGGTTGATCCAGTAAATGAAGCCGCCCACACCAAATATACATGTACCAGCTGTGCAAATAAGTCAGCTAAAGTTTCGGTTACAACCACGCAGCTCTGATGTAAGTCCACTCACCCACTGCCAGTGTCTCTAGTACAGTGTGGTCGACGCTCCTTTTCATAATCTCGTGTCCAACTTCCACCATCCCCTCCTGGATGAGTCGCGTATCGAGAACAGGCATGTTGATTAAGTGGGTAGTAGATAAAGGAACACGATTCCGAGGGACCAACGAAAGAATGCAAATGAGTGCAACTAATCAGAAAAGACGGAGACGCGCACCGATCGCCGGGATCAAGAAACTGAACGAGCCTTTCTTTTGCTGACGAACTAAAACAAAGTTGTGGTGCTGGGTGCCCATATATCATCAAAATCTAGGTCTCTCCGATCGCGTCGGTCCCGCATCACAACCATGCCGGTGCGACGGGGGAGGGCCGGGGTTCGTGGGATAATCACCAGATAATGCCAAGAGATTCGAAGCGCCAACCTGGGTCTGTATGGTCATTCCCACACACGCGGGCTTGGGAATGGGCTCATGTCATCTCATTTCGGTTTCAAAAGGGGGTGCAGCAAATGCGAGAGGATTGCGTTATCACGGTCAGAGGAGATGGTCCCATTGACTAAAAGGTAGTTTCGGGGCCGCCCTTGAACTGGGCTGGTACCGGGCCTAGGGGTCGCATTCTCGTCGAAGAACCCCACCAACTCATCTGTCACCTGGGGTTTGTGGGTTTTTCCAACCTTGATTTACGGATCTACGAACCATTGCCGATGATTACTGGACATTTGAATTAACTGGTCTCCTTCAATGCGCTGTCGCCTGCACGTCCGAGAAGTTGAAGCCGTTCAGTCAGCCACTCTTTTGTCATTCATATTTTCCCATAAAACATCTCCTATCCTTCTCCCCTTCAAGTTTTACCAACAGCACAGCCTCACACCATTGTCCTGCGACTTTATCGCGATGTGAAGCCCAAGTGAGTCCATTCTGAGGCGAGAACACTGTGGCCCCCCACCGTTTCAGCCTCCTGAAACAAGGAGGATCTACGGAGAGTTGCGTGAACCCCTGCCCAACTGAATGCCGCGTCGGCTCATCTACCCTCTCCGTCCGCCGGCCGGAGCATTTCATTACATTAGACGGCGAGGAGCTCTTCATCGTCCAATGTCAGGAACCAATCCAGCGATCACGTTCCTCGGTTGCGATCTTACGGGCAAGTGGAAACGAGCGCCGCTTCAGCCGCATCGGATTGCTAGACACTACTCGCTCAACTTCGTCCTATTGAAATTTCCGAGTCCGACTGACTTAAATGCCCACAGCTCAAGTGTCCACGGATGGCTCATTGTAATAAAGTTTTTACCTTTTGTAACGCTGCTGGCCAAGCTACAAATCTCACTTGGCAGCAGTGACTCCCCTGATGTGACAAGCCGCGACGTCTTGGCCAAGCTCTTGGCCTCGTGTCTTCCAGCGCTGCCACGTCGGCACTTACGTGATTTGAGACGACCCAAGAATTTTCGGCGCAGGAATAACCAACGGCATCTTCTCCAATTGACAGTACCCACGGTTGTTGATAGCACTAGTTCGACTTTCGAAGACTTGGAATAATTGATGAGGCTCTGTGTGGTGATCTTGTCGACCTATGATTTTTATCAAGTCTTTTACCCGAGCAGCCAGCCAACCCGGTCTCCTTCCCCCCCTCCTTCAAATCCACACCGATGAAGAGCTCAGACATCAGCGCCATTCTGACGCGAAGGTAGATAAGAAGAATACCACCTGTGCATTGGTTCAGTAGCCGGATGACGCAGTGGACACTCCACCAACTCTCATCGATATGTTTCGTCGTTCAGAGGCCTGCGTTGCAAAAGCCGTGTAACGAATTCTGACTGATGATCTTCATGCGTCGTCGAAGATTTGGTCATGCGCAGCCTTCGTCGACATGTTCTGGAGTCGGTTCACGATATGATACCACGGAGCCTATCATCCAGCTCAATTCTCCAATAAATTCGGCAACTGGGTTAATTACAATAGAATCAATGGTGAGGCTTCAGGTTTCTGGCCATGTCCCATTGACAGCAAGCGACGATGGAGCTCTTGTTCTTTAATTCTCTTAGGGTAAGCGATATCATCATGAGATATCAATGCTGGGGTTTCGAAATGGATTCTGCGGCTACTTGATATCTAGTACTGATAGAAAAAATACCAACGCCTTAGATTGCCACAAACGCGACGTAGGTAATTTGGCTCTCTTGTCGAAGCCAGAATCTTGCCGTAGATCGCTAAACGTAGGTACTGATCCAAATGGATAAAGTGACTTCTTCTTGAGGCTTTTAGGAAGCCGCCCCAATACATAAGCTCATGCTGTCCTGGTATACCTCATGTATTGATATTGTCTCGGCCATGGCCATATTGCATCAAACTTTCGTTCAGGACTTAGCCAAAGGACTGTTTTCCCATTCAAGAGCTTATGTATACGGGCATACTCGTGAAGTGAATGACGAAGCAGGACCCCAACCCCGAGCCAGAACATAGGATCTTGATACGTTGACAAAAGGTAGTTCAAAGCGCACTACTGACCTCCAGGATACTAATATGCATCTAGTTTGAACCGACACAGAGAAATATATCCTGAGGCCAAAAGACGTTGAGAATCTATGTCTTGTCCCAGATTGAAAGGAAAAGATTTTCAATCGATTTCACTCAGCTAATTAATGCGGACTGAAATACTTCAAATCGGTAATTCTACAAATCCGCTTAGATTTAGCCTCAGCTAATAGTTGCACAAGGCAAGCAGACGCCATAGAGAACTAGGACTCATCTTAACTCAGTTGAATGTGCAGCGAACGGCGTACTAGTAAGCAAGTATAGAGTTGGTAATAGCATGAGTGATCTAACTTTACATGGATTGACCAAAATGCCCTCCATCGATGTAGATGCCCACAAAATTATAAGCATTGAGCTCGAGTAACATTGTTGCAAGGTTCGATCCAGAGGCACCGACGTTGCATTTTAATCCTTGACGCTTTTACTTCCTATCAAAGGGGCATGGAAATTTCGTCCCAAAAGCTTTCTACCTACAGGAAGATTCTCTCGTCTACAGATATTACTAGAGAAGCAGTGAACGCATGCATAGGAATTATCACAGCATTGCCAGTAATCGCGATCAATGGCTCGTTTACACTTCATCTTCCGAATAATCTTGAATGCTATCAGAATGATACTCTGTCGTTTAACGAGCGGCCACTAGCCAGTAATCGCAAGTCTGATTCCATCGCAGTATGCAG